CTATAATTCCTTATTTGATCAAGATTTTGGGTTTTACATGACTCTTTGATTGGTTTAAAATACTACCTTGGAGACAGACCTTTCTTGGATTACATCAGAAATCAAAAAGGATACAAAATTGTTATCAAATTTAATAAGATTGGGTTTCATGTTGTTCTTGTCCCATTGGTACAGGTTTGGTCAACTATCAATGTGAAAATAATGGAATACAAAGAAATATTTGGACTTAAAAGCTCGCACTATATAGTGTAATGGTATTATGATAGTGGTTATATCAATAGTCAATGTTTAGAGTTTTTAACATATGTTCTAGTAATTCTGTGAGGCTATTTTGAAAAGCAATCTTAAACTTGTTTCACCTTCAATTATTGTGGAAATGGTATTTCTTTAAAGTAGCATACGAATTAAAAAGCGTTGAATTCAACTAAAACAAAGACAAAATATTTTATGTCAAGTGTTTTGTAAAAGCTGACAATTTAAGAACACGAACTAAGCCAAAGGTTACATTTTCCTTTCGTCATAGAATTTCATCATTTTATATTTTGGATTAAGTTGTGGTTATTATCATGCTGAATCAATGCATTTCAATGAATATGTTGTCTCGAAGCCAAGGGTCCTAATTCATGACAAATCTAATGATCAAACAGTACTCCAGTGTAAATTTTTTGAAACATGCATCTGCTCAACACAATAACGGGCTGCAAGATTATGTTTGTAAAAGGAACATAATAGATAATCATTTCAACCTTCTCTTTAATAAATTACTTACAGTACTTACTTCCGTTATGTCACTTATCATAACATAAGAAGTATTTAAAGTTAAACATTCTGGTAATAACCCATGCTGGCAATTGATAGCTTTGTAAACTTATGAGCTGTAGAATGTAATGCTACCCCAATAAACACAAGTTTTTTTAACATCTGTTTAAAAACTTTGATCTTGGAAGGCGTTGATTGGCAATCTTGATAACTAAATACGAAATGAAAACCATAACAGGCTTATCATTTGTTTACGCTGCAGCATTTGTGATATAATTCAGGCCTAGGGTGCAAATGGGGCAACGTTATTCGTCATGCAATATAATTCCGGGCTAGGGAGTAAAGGGACAAACGAGATTCGTCATGCAATATAATTCAGAGCGAGGGAGTAAAGGGAACAATGTGATTCGTCATGCTATATAATTATGAGCTGGGGAGTAAAGGGAACAACGTGATTCGTCATGCTATATAATTCGGAATTGTAGAAAAGGGACAAACTAGATTCGTCATGCAATATAATTTTGAGCAAGGAAGAAAGGGAGCAACCGTGATTCGTCAGTATGCTTAACCGATCACAAAATCCAAATTATAATTTATAGGGTGCTAATATATCTCAATAATGCACCAAAGACCTAATTTAATCGCTAACAATCCTGAATAATTCTGTATATTCATCAACATTTAATATCTAATAATAATAGGTATAAGAGAAGATCACTTTTGAAATTTTCTATGAATATTTCTAATAATAGCTAGCAATAAAGGTGTAGGTGTTACGTCGATGAAATTGGGATCAATTTAATTCATTGAGCTGCTGCTTAGTTGAAATATCAAAATACGTGAAGCCTACAAATGTGCCAGGTACCAAAGATTTTCTTAAATTGAAATATATAAGAAACTTCTGCATACTAGTAAATGAAAAAGCTAGAGACGTGTATCTGTTTTCTGATTCTTAATAAATTTAACTGACATTTATGAATATTATCACTAAATTATATGATAAATGCATATATTTATTAATATTTTTCAGCCTTCTGAATGCTCACACATCACCACCTACCTCATATCAGCCAAAGAATAAGAAATGGTCCAAAAAGCGCTCAATTTTAGTGCTCATAATCATTATTTTCATGTTAGTGTGGCTACTAGCTATAGGATTAGGTGTTGGTTTCGGATTACCCTTTTTCCAAAGACATCATTCAGCTGATGTGTTTAAATCGAACAGTTCAGCTGTGAGTGACAGCGCCATTCCAGCTAATCCTGAAGACAATTCCAAACAAGCGATGGGAAATAACTCTATGGATATTGGCAGTGTTAAAGCGACAACCAATGTTTTGCTGACTGATACTATTATTGTTGAATCATCTGAAGTTGCAACCATATCTACCGTCCAGAAACAACCCAAAAGCTCAAAATCTGAAAGACCAACAACTGTGCCTTCAAAATTAACAACAGAAGAATACCTTGAAACAAATGTGGAATCCAATGTTACTGAAAGCATTAAGAACAATATCACTTATAAACAGGTCACCATCGGGGCTGTTGCTGCAGACCATGCAAAGTGTTCTGAAATTGGAAGGTAAGGTTAATGTGAAATATGGATCTTAAAAGTGATCGGGGCAACAGATCTGTATATCCTATTATGAGCTCACATCATGTGGTGTTGTATTGACTGTTGTATTGACTTCTGAAAAACCCGACAAAAATAGTTGCACAATATATTGATTGATTTAATTATTGAGTAAGATTTCATAGTTGAATCTTCATCGTCCATGAATGTATACATGTATTGGGCGAGGCTCTATTTCTAATTGATAATTATATTGCGCCCTGCATAGGCCCATAGTTTTTGCCTTTGATTCTATTTATTTATACATTTATTCCTTACTGTTGCATAGAGATGTTTTAGCCAAGAATGGATCAGCGGTAGATGCAGCAATAGCTTCTTTATTATGTAATGGAATTATGCAGCCACATAGCATGGGTATCGGAGGAGGTGGGTAATGACTATTGTAGCCTTCTTACTTTCTATGGAAACTTCTTTAAAGTTTTGTTTTATGGGAATCACCCTTTAATTTCCATACATAATTTAACCAATAAAACGCTTATCAAATAGATTAAGTGTAAAGAACCATGTTTCACCTTTTGACATCTATAAATGTATTTAGTAAGGCAACCTATCTTTAATCTGGTTAGTGATAGCAGGTAGATAGTGAGCAATTATCTTGTTTAATGTTTTTACTGTAAGTATTCGGTATTTATTCTAAGTAGCCTATCAGGAAGTTGATATTCTCACTAGTAATCCATAGTAAGGTGGCACGTAAACTAGTTTGTTTTTCTGTAGGCTTTGCCACATGTTAAGTTTTTTTACACAGGAAAAATCCACTTTGATGCTTTTAAGTACGATCATTGAGCTTTAAGGTGTTCTGAAGTCCTCGTTCTCATACGGCTTCAATTGGTCTTTTATTATGTAATACCTATTTAAATATAGTATTTCAAACTATAAACTCACTTAGAACATAAATACGTGCCATTTTCCAGGATTGCCACATAATCACATTTGACAGTAAGTTTCAGCCTCAGTAATCAGGCACATGTGTCTAACTGTTAGTATCACTGTGTGTATTTTAAGGATGCTTTATGGTGATATATGATAAGGAATCACGACAAGTAGATGTTATTAACGGGAGAGAAATTGCACCTAAGGCGGCTACAAGAGAGAAATACATCAATGAATCATTTTTGTTTGGTAAGTTGTTATTTAGAACATTGTTGGTTATTACCCTGTCAAGAATCACATGTCTATGTTAAAAAAAAAAAAAACCAGAATAGAGGCTGGTCTGACCTTGGCCCCCACTTTCAAATTTTTTTATCATATTACATAGTAAAAGAATGGTCTGTGCCCCCCTCCACCACCCCTCCCCCTTGAAAAATTTTGTGGCCCCTATTCTCCCCCTCACCTTAGTTTCCTATAGAACACCACTGAAAACGAGTGCTAAAGTCTTTATATTTCATATATGATTTTTCTTCACCACCGGAACAATACGTTGAATGGTAGGATGGTTCCTTTGGCATAACCATTACCAAAGATGTTAACTAACTTCTCATTCTAGGACCACTATCAATTGCTGTACCTGGAGAACTGAAAGCTTATTGGGAAGCTCACCAAAGACATGGAAAGCTACCATGGAAAAGTTTATTTTTGACTTCTATTGAAATGGCAGAAGAAGGTGCTGCTCTATCGGCATCTGCAGCTCGTGGGTTAAGGTTCATTCGAAAAAAAATACAAAGAGATTTTAATTCAACCATTGCAGAAATGTATCCTGAACTATGGTAGGGAACTCAATACATTCTCATTTGAGAACTAATCACAATTATCAAACAAACGACATCGTGGAAAAAGCGTTCAATACTGTATTTGAGATACGTATTTTTATCAGTTACGTCCCTTGAACTTATTAAATTCGCTATATCTTAAATTTTTGCGCGTTCCTAGTTGTTGTGTTTGTTGAGCAGCTATGACTGGTGTGGCGCCAGACAAGAAATGTTTACGCTTCTAGACACTTGATACTACTTTTCATTATGAAATACTACTCACTTATGATTGATATATTTCCTCATGTGAAAAGTGCATTAGCTCATTAGCTGCTACTAATGTTTCGTCAATATGTTGTACGGATTTTAATGATAATTTTTCGAACCTATATAGGAATCCCATGATTTGTTTAATAAGGTGCTCCTCAAGAACGTCAAATGTCAGATCGCATTACAGAATAGATTATATATTTATATATATATGTTCATATTGACATATCGAGTCACACAACTGAAGTCTGTTGACGTTATTTTTAGTGTGAAGAGTATAAATGAATTATACATACAATTTATATTCTTAAGACATTAATTTGGAAATCCTTGTTACTATCAACAGTACTTGTTAGTCTTATGTAATTTGCAGCAAAATATACTGTGATAAAGATGGTAAAATATTGAAAGAAGGTAGTACTGTATACAGAAAAGTACTTGCTGAAACTTTACGAGGAATAGCAGATGAAGGTCCTGACTATCTGTACAGCGGGAAAGGAGCAAAGCGCCTTGTCAAGGATATAAAGAATTTTGGTGAGTTTTGTGCGAAAATTTTATTTGTATTGTATTTTAAGTTAGTTTACGAGCATGAGTTACAAACCGAGTTCGTAACTAGACTTATTTTATTACGTGATACCAACCCCCTAATCGTTTGAGGTATGTATTTATTTATACTTTCAGATGGAATTATAACTTTAGAAGATTTCAATAAGTATGAATTACGGAAAACACCAACACTGACATACAAATATGGAAACTTTACAATGTATACGCTTGGTGCTCCTAGTGGAGGTCATGTAATGGGTCTTATTTTACGTGTCTTAGAAGGTAAAAAAATGCTTTTGAACATGACTTACGAACATTTAGCAAAGATTATGTAAAAATTGCTGGGAGTTAACCCACATTGCAAAGCTTTTGTCTTTTGTTTGCAGTGGATATCACATAATTGTCAACAATTCCCAGATACAAATCGGTACTGGTCTTAATTTTGTTTTGAACGGTGGCTAAAAAACTACCAGAGACTGGTTGTACCATTTTCACGGGCCCCATCCTCTAAGAGGACCCACCCTCAGAAAAAATCCGATTAATGGAATCATTTAAATCTAAATGATAAATTCATCCGAATAGCAGATAGCAGTCTAATGCTAAAAATTGTTTTTAAGGTTTTAATTTTACACCCGAAGATCTCAGCAGCCTTGATAAAGAAATTGCCATGTACCATAAAATCATTGAAACATTTAAATTTGTTTATGCTGACAGATTGAAACTAGGAGATCCTCTGTATACTGATCTGGAAGAGGTAAGCGTTCCAGATTTGATGCTGGACTGCGTAATGTATTTTGGAGATTTTTGCTTAGAGACAGGGTTCAGACCTTCCGTTTTGCATTCAACATAAATTGGCTTTTGTTAAGAACGCAATTTTATTTAGCTTGACACTGACACACTGTCGTCAAAACATACGTATCTTTCCAGGATTTGCGTTTAAATGTTTAAATTTGTTTTTGAGCAGCTTTTGGATAAAATGATGTCACCAGAGTATGCCGAACTTCTAAGAAGCAAAATAGACACAAACCAGACTTATTCCGAATCCTATTATACGAATATAACTAGTAAACCATGGGATAGTTATGGTACATCACATATCTCAGTATTAGCTCCAGATGGTGATGCTGTATCTGTTACATCTACCATCAATTATTAGTGAGTATTATCAGTCAATGTTTATATAGCTCGAGTGTCGCTTGTGTCGGTGCGACTCACTATTATTGTTTTCTGAAATCTGGATGTTTGATTCTTACTGACTGAAGCTAAATCTTGGTCAACGAAGATTTCTTAAGATCCCTTAATATTCCTGGGAAAAAATAACTGTCATTAACACATAACACATGGAATATTTAAATTGCTGATTTTACCTTTGAAGCTTTGGTTCGCTGTTATATTCGCCATCTACAGGTATTATTTTGAATAATGAAATGGCCGATTTCCACGCAGGTGACTATGCACTACTGGACGAATTACAGGTATGTTATGCTTCAATAAATGGGTTGAATCGCTTAAAGAAATTATGATTTTATGCAAGTCGTTTGACTAGAGAATTTATGTTCAAAATCATTTCTGATCTCTGACTAGCGTTCTATAGTCTTGTGACCCTGCACATTGATCATGTAAGAGATATCATTGTCAATGAGGTTTTGCAGCTTGATGAAAAGAAACCCCGGAGGTTGATGTCTGAAAATATAAATCTTCTGAAACAGCAAGCTGAACATGTTTTTGTTTTCAGTCTGAATCTGCAAATTATATAGCGCCTGGTAAAATGCCACTATCTTCTATGGCACCCGCTATCTTTGTTAACCAAGATGGAGAAGTGGAGTTGGTAATAGGTTCATCGGGTGGTGCTAGAATAACTACAGTTAATGCCCAGGTACGACTTTTCTGATAATCATTTATCACATTCCCGGTTCATCCTCGTGATTAATTTAATCACCTGGGCAGAAAGAAATGATATTTTTTTACTGCACATTGCATTGAAGCCCCCACTATCACAATCGAGAAAAGGGGAGCCGTGGGTAAAAAAAAAAACATAATTATCTTAACATGTTTTGTTATGTGGATTTTCTCGTAAAGTGGTTCGGGGTGTAAAGTTGATAAACCCAGACTGAAAACGGTTGAACGTTAAGGGAGACAACACCACCGAGGAGTCTGTTCTTTCAAAATACACGCCGTGTTTATGGACTCACTTCACTTCATTTGCCATCTCTTCCCATGTTAAAACACGAAATTCAACCTTCTATAACTTTTTCCAGAAATCTCGTTGAAAGCTTTCCAATATGCCTGACCAATTCTGAAAAAATTCATTATATGATGAAAATTTTGTGTTACTAAAATTGAAAGTAGACTACTTCTGGTTATACTCATCCGCTAGAGTTTGGCACTTCACAAAACGACTATTTTTAGAATTAGCCTTCCGCCTTTAGGCCTCTCATCACCTCACCAAATCTGAAAGATAATGCAATTTCAGACATCAAATTCCAGATCTAGATCAAATTTTACCCAAAAATAGGCATGCAAAAACCCCAAAAGGGAGAGAGAAAGAAGATTTCTAAAAATAGCCTGTATTACATTTGCAATCAATTGCATAAAATGTTTTAGTGGAGTGAGTCCTAAAAGGAAGGGCAGATGATCGGGAAATCTTTCTTGTTTGGTTACATTATGTATTCCATATATTATGAAGTTTGAAATGTAGGTTACACACTGCATGAAGTGTTAAATCTCGTAGATTGAAGAATGGCAGTGTTGATGATTTTCTGTGGTCGTGAATAAACAACAAACATATTTAAAGTATTTACGACAGACATTAAATTAATAAGAATAACACGTGTAATGCTATTTTAATAAAATATTCTAGGTTGCAGCAAGAATTCTGTGGTTTAAACAGACAGTGAAAGAGGCCATAGAACATCTTCGATTTCATCATCAACTAATTCCAAATCATATCATCTTTGAAGAAAATTTTCCCAAAGTAAGAACTACTGTCACCTTTGTTCTGTCAAAGATTCCAATTTTTCCTGAAATTACTGGAACCAGCAAGGTCGGAAGGGAAATTTGAATGATGCAAAAAATTGGCTATCTGTTCATCTCTCTCTTAAACCTTGGAATAAATGTGGAACCTTTTACGGGTCTGAATAGTGTTTTAAATTGTCGACACTATAGAAGGCAATATAAGATCTTTAATTGGTAATATTTCATAATATTGGGCTTGTTAAAGGTTACAGCTTCCAATATAATAATATTGTTAAAGACATAATGAGTTTTGTAGAAAACAAGTGTCGGTTTTATAATGACTTTATATTGTATTAAACAATGCTTCACAGTTTGAGACAACATTGTACCATTTCTTTTCTTAAGTTATTAAAGACATTATCAATTCTTAAAATAATGACGAACTAAATCAATGTAGCAGAATCAGATTGATAGAAAATCAATTAATTGGTTTATGTTTGAAATCTTCAAATTAATGGGGATGTTTGCACATAAGCATTTAATTATACTAGAGCAATTGATTCGTGGAATATAGTTTGTCACTTTTAGTACAAGATATTATAATTTTACCAAAAAGATAAAATATTTTGTTTTCTTTCTATTACCCCTCTCAGGCTCCTCGATCGATTGCATTACCCCCTTTCTCCTATAAATCCTTACTATTTTGTGACTTTCTCCAAGGTTCACCCCGCAATTTTTTTCCATGTCAGATAATGAAGCCTGACTGAATACACCGACTTTAAATATAATTATCCTTATTATATAAGTACCTTATTACCCCCGAAATTTCAAAATTACCCTTTCGGAGTAATTCCTTCAGGTTGAAAACCGCTTTTTGGCATCAGAACAACAAAATGATCCTCTGATTAAGAACAACGCATTATACAATTAAAATTATCGAATTTTCCACGTTCATGCATATTTTGGGTGTAACTTATTCCACGCTAAAAAAAACTAAAAAAAACTATTCGGTGAATCAGTAAAAGTAATATAGATTTTGTTTTCAATTTTAGAATATCATGAACACACTTAATACAAAATATGGTCATGAATATACAGAAAGGACAACTTATATGGCAGTTGTTCAAGGCGTAGCCCGTAATCAATATACTGGTGAAATAGAAGCTATATCAGACCAGCGTAAATATGGACAAGCCAGCTTATTACAGAAAAATGTGACTATTTCGACATAGTTGCCATTATAATAAAAATAAAGTGTGCATATGTGTAGACATACCAAGGTGGACTAAGGGTCGACTGGCTATTTAAAGCATCGATATCCCAAAATTAAGGATCAACTAGCAACTTTATTCAACTGCATGGTCAGGTTCCACAAGCTCATTTAGACAGTCAGATTCAACATTGCATATGACATGAACAACTACCGACAACTGGCTGCAAGTGTGATTTTCCAGTCTCTGATGCGCCTAGGTTGAATAAATTTTGTGTTTGATCAGACTATCCCTGATGTCGGAATCTGTGAGTAGGAAGCAGTCGTCGACAATCCAGTTGCTGCTTTAAGATTAGCCGCAAAGTAAACCTTACTCGATTAACGCGTTCTATGCCAATATTGGTCCTATATTAAGGCCAAATTTACAACATTAATGGACGAAGTGGATAAGAATTCTTCAAAAACAACCATTATTCAAAATAAGCCGAGAGTTAATGAATAATTGAAAACTAGACATGTGGATAACTTCAGTAAGTCTATCAATGAATACTTTAGGTTGGCTTCTTTTCATGAGATGTTTTTCATGAATTGTATCAAATTTGGCAATAGCGAACGCCAGGAATATGATATAACAAACACATTTACATTTATAATTTTTTTTTATATTTTGAGTTTTATAAAAGTCATTTAAACCACTGAGTATATTTTGTGAAAATAAATCAATCCAACTTACCTTGTGTCATAACTATATGACAGAATTCCTCTATAAATACTATAATCCATTAAATCTATAAAACTGAGTAATGATACTTGTAATGTATAGAGACTCTATTCTTCAGTCATGGCACCTGGTAAGTCCAAGCAATGTTATTGACTTTGAGACTTTTTTTTTATGTCCATTCAAAGATTTAGTATTCCTTTAAGAATTGAAAGGGGTGTCAGGGGAAATAAGTTCGTAAAAGCTATTTCCAGCAGTGGTGTTTCCACGGGAGATTCAGGGGGAAAATTTCAGACTTACAGTTCTTTATTCTTTGTTTAAAGAGACTGACAAAAACACAACTATTCCCAACAGATTGGTTTGTCCTTTCGTGTCCAAACCACGCCCCATTCGTCATAACCCGTATTTGTGTTTTGTTTTCGTCCATATTAGTTTGGGGGTGAACACAATTCCAAGATACCTATATTCTGGAACAGTGTCAAGAGGTACGCCATCAAAAGTTCACATATCTTAATGTCGTTGTGCGGAAAACAACCACTTTTGTTTTGTTAAGGTTGGCTGTTAGTACAAATTTATTTGCTGTTGCAGTCGTAATACCGTATCTGCAACATTTGCTATGTCGTCTGCAAACATGAGACAAAATACATATTCTGCCAAGTCTGAGATAAAATACCCATGCAATTTTCAATTTTTAACTCTTTTACATATTCGTTTATGTATAAACTAAAGAGTAGGGGGCTTAACTCTTGCCTAGTTCCTGTGCAACAATCAAAGAATTCAGTCAGACCAAACGGTGTTACAACACAAGATCGACATTTTGAATGCATATCTCTAAGTACATTTAATAATTTTCCACGAATGCCACTTTTTAACAGTGTTTCAAACAGATTGTTATGCCGATCAACTTAAAACTTTTACAAAAACCGATAAATTGAGAGTAAATCCTCTCACTGCTCTTTGTAAGGTACTCATGATACCTTGCAGGCTAAATATATTGTCGGTTGTAGAATAGTGTTTTCGAAAACCAGCTAGATTTTCTACTATTTTATCATTGAGTTATTACGGATTTTAGTAAAAACCTTACTAGTAGGAAGGCTGGAAATTTCCCCATTTCAACTTTTGTTTTGGGCCCTTTTTATGTACTGAGCATATCAATGCTTATTACACATCACTATAATTTACCTCGTTGTCATTGACATCCACCTGCGAGAACCACTGGGGCGGTTCTATATCATTTGGCATTATTTTGGCATTTAATTAGTACTTTACCAGAACTGTTTTGGAGATTTAATGCTATTTTCTAAAATTTGTCTCGCATAGTTGGCCGCAGCAAGCTAAGCTAAGCTAATCAGTAATAGTCGAAAGGGAAATATATCAGATATACACACAGTACATAATGAAAACAAATAACGATATAATCATTATACTAAATCCATCTATAAAGTTCTAATGGCCGAGTCTATGATATCTCTATTTAGATATTGTACATAGCTTTTAAAAAAGATAATATCATTTTATATTCTTATTGACCCTATTTGAGTTTTATTGGGTTGAGAATTCACTTAAGGTTAATGAATAGATCATAGCGGAATAATAGTGACAAATCACATACTGAATCTATTTCTTTCCTCATATGAATATACTATGCAAATCTTCCTATTATCTTTATATCAGTCAAGGGACATTTGTTTTATTCAGTTTGGGCGAAATCCCTCGCGTTTCTAACCGATTACTTACTGCCGAGGTACTGGTTGGAAGGTTGACATGCTAAAAAGCGTCTGGTCGCATGGATTTTACAACCAGTCTGCTTAGAGACTCTTTCAACAGTAAAAATCAATAGGTAACAAATAGTTCCAGCAAGCTTCAAATCCTGATGTCTGGAGAAATATTTTTTAGCATAAGTTATCTTCATTGCTTATTAATATTACGTCATTCGTAAATTGAATATTGATTGTTTTTATCTCTACGTGAATACCAGCTTCAAACTAGATTTGGTCAAACTTTAAAATGTTCAAACTGGACCAATTGATGTTCTAAGAAGAAAGATCTTTCATTTAGGTCATACTGGTACCCGAAAATAATCATTGATAACGTCTATAATATTAAATACTGTGTCGTATACTTTTTGATTATCCAACATGGTTGAGTTCAAGGACAGACGACTCGGCAATGTAACACGGATACACATGGTTAAGAATGCTCAAATTTCGACGGTGAGCTGTGAATACTTTTACTGGTGAGCTTAAATAAAAAAAATGTCCGTTTCTGACACCATGGTACGATTCTCCCTAAATTGATGAACCATACCTTTTAAACCACAAAAACGTGCTTAATGCAGTGAAAACAACATTATGTGAAGGCCAAGAGCAACCTCACTTTTCACGTTAATTAAAGGTAATTTTCTCGACTTGTACTTTGGCTCTCATGTTACGTCGTCTGGACAGAATACCCGCCATTTAGCTATTTCGTTAATTTGCGTTTAATAAGTTTAGGATTAAAGTGCCTGTTTTATACGAATCGCCATTTAATATAATAAACGCATGAAACAAACCTTGTGGGTCCAATTTGATTAGAGTTCACATGAATTATTCTTTTGAACAAATTGTTTATTAGAAATGTTATCCAGTCCGATAATGGCATGTTTATAGGATATTATGTGTCGTATTAACAAATCCTTTACAATATTCATTGTCGCTAATCACTGGTTAAAAGGACTGAAAGTATTACACACATAGTTATTGGTATTGTTATAAAACTCAGTATGTAATGACGGAAGGTAAGGCAGCGGTAAAAAACACATCATTTTCAGGAAAGGAAAATTTTTTATTTTACTAACTTGGATTATATCCATAAAGCAAAACTGTTTGTTATTGGACTTGGTAAAATCGGTTCATGGCAACAACAAACTCACACAGAACAAGTTTGGCATCATTTCCACTAAATTCGACGAACTGTTCAACTGCGAGTGGAATGAGGTCCTTAATTCGTTTCTTTTATTATCTATACTGTATCTGCACAGTAATGAGCATCAGACAAAGTTCTTTTATATCATAATTTAGCTTCTGTGACTTGGCGTAAAGTTGTTATTAGATGCATTACTATAATAATGGAGTGGATCTGTTCACTGTTCAAAGCACAGCTTTTTTGGAACTACATCATTTTAAGTAACTCTCACACAAAAGCGATCACCAGTTGAGTTTGATGATGTATAAGAATAGCGGCCATAAGTTGCGAATGCAGTTGTATGTTGCATTTGGTACTCATGACCACTTTCATTATTCGCAACCATATCAACTGGTAATCGCTTAGATGCGGGGGGCGTCTTTTAAAGCAACAATCACATTCAACTCCACACTGTTTCATCCTCATATGGACGGTTCCTTAATCGTGAAGTTGAACCTACGCATGTAAATGTTATAAGATATCTTATTATCTTAATGGTAGTTTTATAGCTTGATTACTAACTAACCTGGACTTAAGTGATAGATATGACATTAGTTCAGTGTTAACACTATATTTACAACTAAAACATTTCGTCTATTTTTAGTTATATTTTGCTTGTGTGAGCATTTAATAATTAATAAATGTGAAATATAGATTTTGATGTAAAAGGAACTATCTGGAATATTGAATAGTTTGAGTAGTAGATTTTGATAGACACAAAAGTCAGCCTAATGGACCACAAAATATGAAATATGCGTTGAGTATGTCAATGTGAACGTCTAAACACTTATTGCACTACAAACGATATATAGCTGGATGGTATTCTAGGAATTAAATCAGGGTAAGCAATCGATTACATGTATTTATATAATACAATGATAAAATATTTTCACTGTTAGAATAGTGCTTAGTACAACTGTAGAGCGATATAGAAATATTTAAAACAAACCTTGAATCATGCTGTTACTCAGAGTTTGACTTTAATTATATTAAGATTATTGAATGAAGTCTAGCACTCATTTCTCAATATTAAATGCAATTCTTCTATGCAATTGTTAACCATCTCCACTCATTCATAACCGTAAAGCATAATACTATTGAATTTCACGTCAATATTTAGGGTCCGTATTGTCTAAACGGTTAAGCCAGGACAAGACGAGGTACGGACCCCGGTGCAGCGTACGGTGCGGAATGATCGTTACAAACGAAAGTGAACACACGAGGTACGGGTCTATTGGCAGCTTAAAGCTGCGTTTACCGAACACGCGGTATGCGTATTGCGGGACGCGGCAACGGAATGCGGTATGCGAAATGCGGTAAATATACCGCACTTCTATTTATCGGAAGGCGTTAACGTGGCGGTATCACTTCAAGTTTCATAAGCATGGCGCCCATCTGGTCCGTTCCTTCTTAAACACGATGCAACCGAATCCAACGGGATGTAATCATCGCCGTTGAGGCCTATGTGATAGCAAGGAAGAGACGTTCTAGACGAATTGTTTGTTTGATTGGTGTTTATAACCAGTACATCACAATGGTGATGGCTTGATTTGAGCCATTTGAGCCATACCGCGTAACGCGGTCCGGTAAACGGATAAAGGAAAATGGCTTGGAGCGAAAAAATCTCTATTCCGCATTCCGTTGCCGCGTCCCGCGATACGCATACCGCGTGTTCGATAAACTCACCTTAAAGGTGCGAATAGACGAGGGACGGTGTACGGTGCGGTATTATCGATGCAGTAGAAAATGGAAGAAACGAATCGTGTCTGCATCGTGTCCGGACCCGTTCCTCGTGTGTTTCCTTCTTCTATTTTAGTTATCGATTATTCTTCACCGTGCACCGCACCGGACCCCTTACCTGGTCTATTCCCACCTATACACTATCAAATGAAGTATTCGTACCGGACGTGAATTAAAAGAATTTTGAACTCGCATGATACTATTGTTAGGTGGCTGAGGGGTATTTGACAAGTCAACATTCGCTTCCAGAAGCTGATATAGCAGACCAGATAGTTTTTGGTAGTCGTTTTGGTAGTTTGAAAAGTGTTGGAGTGGTCATTACATTTTGATAGGCCAACGATCAGATCAGCAGCCATTGTACGCCTTAAATACTGGTCTCAGGTAAAATGTAATACATGTTTTATACTTGTCTACATGTAGATCGATATATAAAGGCTTTAAACTTTTTGATTTTCGTTAATGTTGCGTGATGTTAAAGGAATACTACCTCTTAGAATGGGCATTAAATTTAAAGTCTCAAACTTGGTCAGGTTGGTCTTATGTTGGTAATTTTCAAATTTATGGTCATTAGTATTAACCCTGAAATACAAAAATCCGAATTTACGCCACCTATATAATTATAAACATCTAACAATTTTAACACCCAATTTTTGCTAATGACTGCTATGTTGAATACCACCCCTTGAATTGACATAAAATTTAATGTCTCAAACTTGGTCAACCACTGTATACATTAATCAGTTGGACTTTCCACGTGCATTGACTAAAGACTATAGCATAGAATCTCAGGACGACATATCCATTATACTAAGTAATTATTGAATGACGCTTCTAAGAATGTTTCAAAATTACTTATGAATTATTACTTAGTTTTATTGATTTATTGGCTTATAAAAGGGATTCTGTTGTATGACACCAGGTAAGTCTACTGGTAACTCATTTTGGCCAAGTTTAGAGATTTCAAATTTTTGGTCATATTAAGCGGTAGTATACATTTAAAAAACTGTCAAATTATAATTTATATATTTTTTTCTAAAAGGAAAATATGTGACAGTTTTATAAATAAATCCAATGGCCAATTGTATATTAAAATTTATATTAATTTTTTGTAAATTAGTTTTGATTTAACATCAATGCCAATATAAGCAATAATACTTCACACTTCTATTGATTAAAACTGTATAGAAAAAACAAATACTTGTTCACCGTACTATTCACTTTTAAATCTGCTTTTGGAAAATCTGAATATTTCGAGGTAACATTTCTTGGTAGTGTGTTACTAGGCATCTGTTTCACGATGTTTATCTTTATTTAACCATTTTTAAACTAACATCACTGATGTATTAATTCGTTTCATTTAAACAAGTAACTGAACTGAATGGATATCTTGATCTTAATTTCGATTGAAGTTTTTTTTTGAACTTGCAAGACATTTCCTTAGTGATGTAAGGCAAGCATATTTCAAAAAAAGGAGAAAGTAAATATTAAATGCCGTTGCCACAGTGATGCATCTATTTGTCGATTTTAGTTAAAATCAATTAATTGCTAACTTTTTTCTGGAACGTCAACTCAATAATGCTAAATAAATTGACATTCAATTTTATTTTGACGGATGTATGCCTAGAGCGCGGGAATATGTTTGCAACTACATGTAATTAAAATGTCCTAATTAACCTTTTACTTAATAACACAACACATTTTATGGACTACATTACTGCTTTATTACAACAATGCGACGTCTCGACGATGTTACTCTCGTCTTTATCAAGTTTTCTTTGCAGGTTGAATTTCCGTTTGGTCTTATATTTAAACACTATACACAAAAATCTAGGGAAATGTGTACCTTTAACATATCTGAAAGTTTTACCTAAAATAATCCAGCCGCTAATCTTTTAACGCCTAAATTGTATAAAATGTTTACTAAACTTTTTCAGTTCGTCATGCTTTTTGGAAGCGGTTAGAAAACTACTGTATGGATTTAAGTTGAATAAACGCCTAATTGTAGGGAATATGTCTCCTATGTAATCTCAAGGTTTCAACTTATAATATTGAGTCATTAAAAGCCAAACACCAAAAAGTTTTTGCATACTATTCCTTTAAGTAGTAATTGTTATCTATAAAGTGTGATGTGTTACCATTCTATGTTTTGTCAACTACTCCAGGCTTCTACAACTACCATCTACTTCTGTATTTTATCCAATCGTTTTCATTCCGATATTATTGTTCATAAATACATTGATACTGGCCATCGTTTTACAAAATTACTGCTTTGAAATATTTCTAAATATCAACATTCAAAAGTCAATAAATGAAATGCTTTGTATGTAATTTTTCCAGGGAATGAAAAGGTTTCCGACCTCAATTTTCAGGGTCAACCGATTTATTTTCCTAGCTCTTCCATGTGAGAATGTAACAAAAACAGGTCAATGAAGAACTGAAATGCTTCCGTTTTCCTTTCAGCTTCATAAATATACAATATTATTACGACTATAACGGCATTATGGGAACCGCAAGTGTTGTCACGTACATTGGATTTTTAATGGTGTCTGGTGCTGTTGGTAATTTATTGGTGATATACGTGTTTGGTTTCAAATATCGATCATCAGCATTCAACGTTTTGGTAACAGCATTAGGAATATATGATCTCTTGTCGTGTGTAATTCATATGCCCATGGATATCTTGGGAACACTTGAACCTGATATTTTGCCCTTTTCCATTCTATGTAAATCTTCGTGCTTCTTGATCGCTTTAACAGTGTTTTCAGCTAGTATCGTGCTCTTTACAATCGCTGTGCTTCGTTACAGAGGAGTGTCAAAACCGCTAGGACGAACACTACAACCAAAGGAGGCAAAATGTTTAGGATTTGTGACACTAGTTCCATCTCTATGTCTTTCATGGCCCGCGTTAGTTATGTTTGAAAATAAAACGATTGTGTCCGAGGCGGGTGTCACGATTCATATGTGTGGGATACATAATCCTGATTTTATGGTATATTCGACTGCTTACCATATCTTGTTACTTGTCCTCTTTGCCGCTAACCTGGTAACAATGACCACACTTTATGGTATGTTATCGAAGTTTCTAGTGAACAGAAAAAGGGTTTTTACTGAGGTTGTTAAACAAAAAAGATCAGTGGCGATTTCTTCTGTTATGAAATCGGGGGTAAAGGAAGAAAGTGGTACCACGATTCCGCCAAGTGACAAACTATTTAAGTCAAAAACCGTCTTGTCCACTGTAGAAACATTTCCTCTATGGGTCAGCGAAGCAGAAGAATTTCCAACCGCTCCGAAGCCAACAGTGTTCCATCATAATAACCAACATCCATCCACGATACGGATAAATGACTCTAATCCAGATACTGTAAAAACTAACATGTTCCTCGTTGTTCCTAAAAGCAAAGCATACCAGAAAAGTATGGAAACTTCCGAATCGGGTAATTCGTCTACTAGAATTTTAGAGACAGGTGCCAATAACAAAACTTCCAAACCACAAAGGAATAACAATAATGGAATATTGATGATGTTATTGGTGACAGTAGTGTTTTGTATCAGTTACACGCCACATCTTACTTATGCTATGGTGTTTACATTTTCCGACGTGGAAACTGTCATTTCCTTGTCAGTGTCAGCCACCACCGGCATTTTGTTTCGTTCCTTTTATTTGAACAATATTGCCAATCCTATTATCTACGCTCTATGTAGTGGAGACTTTCGATCTGAAATCAAGAAAATATTTGTGAGACAAAAATGACCGTGGTGGTATTCATTGTCAAAAATATGTTGGCAGTTATGTAACGGAAGTGGTTTCAAAAGGATTGCAACAACCTTGGAATCTTGAGATGCGTGTTTTCTCATGGACTTATGTTGGAAAATGCAACTCAACAATTTCCATGCGATTTTGTGGCATTATGAATTGTAAGTAACTAAAGCCTGAAATTCACAGCATAAACAGTGTGCTTTTCATCAAAAAGAGAGTAAAGAGGTTTATGTTTATGTATATAGGGGACACTTACATCACCGTTTTGCACCATTCCAATTTTCAATCAAACGTCAGTGGTTCTTGCAATTCCAGTAAAACTATGGTCAAATGATGTCACTATTGCAAAAACTGCTATTGTTGTATAAGAACCTTTGCAAAAGTGAAGTCTTATACTCTAACATCATAAGGCACTTTTTTTTCACGGTATTTTGTAAATGCAACGATTTGATTGTACTGTACGCCAGTGAACATATCCTTGTTCCGTTTCATTTTTAAAAAGAAATAAGAAGGTTAGAAAGCCTCTTAGCAAACCATGAATAAATCATTATTTAATTGTGCTTCTCTCGAACTGTTTTCGGGTCCATAAAAATGTAAGGCATGTTCTCATACATAATAGTTTAGTGTTGGAAAACTGGCACACGATATGAAGTTACCTCCCTTGTTACATTAACAGTATCAGAATGTGAGAAATGACTGCATATTATAGTAGTGGTGGTTGTCGCGTGCGAAGTAGACCATGCTTACTCTTTTCGTAACACTTTGTGGTACATCTCTTTTGAGAAGTCCATGCATAGTCGATCATCTGACATCAACAAAAAGATTCTTTCATAGACTCACACTTCAAGTGGACGTGATAATTTATGGTTGTTATTTATTTATCTCGGCTAAACAATTCTCATTTTCTTCTTTTTAAAATAGTACTTATTATTCATCCTCAATAAAATAATGTTCTTAATTATTGTTCTCTTGATTTTCCTGAAAAAACAAAACTTTGATTGAAACTATTGTTATGACAAGTATTGTCAATTGGGAATGGGAAACCTTAACATCCCTGAAATTAATTATCAAAACGTATCGTGGCCATTAGACTCGTCATTGATATCCCCATAGAGCAATTATGGATTGCAGCTAAAATTGAGGCATTTATATCTATTTCTTACAATATGAATACTTGAGTTATTAATATTATTGTATTGCTATTTCCAGTCAATAGATCAAAAGCTACTCACTGGCAAATTCATATATATATGGTGTTCAATGACCAATTCACTAGAATATATATATATATCTATTGATGGGTTATTTTTGACTCGAGTGTTTTGTATTGGATGACAGAAGTTTTTATACGCTCACACGTAGATGTTGATATTGTCGGTATTCATCACCTAAATTTCAAGTTGACACCTAAGATGGCAATGAGACATGCATATTTATCAGTCACGGTCTCACCAAAGCTGGGGGGCAGTGGAAAGTCTTCAAGGGCTATCATACCACAGCGATTACATTATATTTGGTCCTGAGTTCCGAATTTGATGTTGCTATACATACCTGTATTAGCAACCATGTTGGGGGGCAACACAAGTCCTTCGAATGCGAGTGCGTGCTACAGGCTACAGGCACACATATTATCCTACATTTGTCTAAATAATTAAGCCCATGCAATATTTCCCTCGTCGTATATACTCTGTGCTGAGTACAAATGTTCTTGTACAGATTTTTCTAGGCGAAAATCGACCTTATATGGGGTTATTAGCCTATTTGTTTTGAAGAGGCCAAGAAATCTTATTTTGACACAATTTCTGTATGCATATATTATACATGGTTGAAGAACCCTTGACTTAACATTATCTTTTACAAATTTGCTGCTCTGAAAACTATTTTTGGATACTCAAAGGCTGGCGTATGTAACTAAGATATTTTTTGTCTGTTTTGATCAGTATATTTTCTGATTTACATGTATGAATACTTATCAATGGATGAAAAGTTGCTATGTAACTACTAAAATGGGGTACAACAACCCAAAAAAAACATACGCTATATTCTATTATATTCTTTTCTTTGTTACTTGCCAACCAATATCTCGTTTTTATTTTGCTACTGTTTGTGGGCAAAAACATTTATTCATTCACAGCATTTCGTTTCATATCAGCTACTTTAGACGTACTATCATTCCACAGTCATGATGAAACAACTGATTTTAATTGCCTTGTTGGGTAAGTTTAAGTTATATATGGTCGGAAATACGGAGGGAATTTAGCATTCCAGACTATTGATTAAAACCACTAATGTTTCGCCAATATGTTGTTTGGATTTCGGGTTTCGTTTAGCGGTCCGGATCGTTAGTACTTGGCTTATTTTTATTCATCTGTTGTAGTTGTTCAGTAATGTATAGTAATATTGACAAATGTAGAAGTTACATACTCAGAATCGGAAAAAAGTGCCCTTGAAAAATCTTTATTGACATGTTTTGTGTTTCACGTTGCCTTTTCGACAGAATACAGAATAAAGTGTATACATGTAAATGTATAACGTATCTCTGGTCTTCAAATCATTGGGTCGCTAACACACATTCAAAGGGTCGCTGGGTCTGTCTAGGGTCGCAATCTCATTTGTAACAATGCAGTAAGAACTATAGCCTTGGTTTCTTGGAAATCTTGATTCATTCTGTCGGTCAGTGTGCCTCGATGACTGCAATAGCCATGTGCTTGTTGGGTTGCTACATCTTGATTTGCTCAATTTCGAAGCCTGATACAAATTGGAGTTGAGAAGTAATAATGTTGATGTTATATAACTGCATGTAATAACAATTAATGTTTAAATAGCACTTGATAGTATTACTGATCCAGAATCTAACATAGTTCAGGGCTCAGTTACGACCGGGGAAGTATAAATCAATAATTTTGCATACTGCCCATATATAATAAGGGTATACTAGTTTATTTCATTTTAATTTCAGCTGTAGCATTGAATTGTGTGAATTGCGGAGAGGTTCAGTGTGCCTTGGGCGTATCAACATGCCTTTCTCGGAAGTCGAGTATTGTATCTGGAATTGCAACTAAGTCATGCGAGTGAGTAAACTAAAGTGAAGATTGACTAATTGGAATAGCAAATGAAAATGAAAATGAAATGAAAGCGAAATTAGGTCAGGTTAGGTCATAATTCAATGAATTGGACCAATGTTTGCAAAACATAGGCTATCCCATACTGATTTCAAGGCCATGGTTCGCCATTTACAGGGGTTGATTTGGGTCTGTTTCTGAGACTTCTGAGGTACTATTGATCAAACAGATGGTGATTCTTTCCCTTTAACGATACATTCTTACCATTACAGAGAGAAAATGGAACTATTCCAATGTTTTAGAGATGAAGATTGTACAAGAGATGACGAATCATACAAAGCAGCAGTTAATGCCTATAGTTATTCTTGTTGTGGTATGAGGCATATTTTTTTCAGTTTTTGTTGGGTGTTTTATTTGGGGGCGGGGAGGAGGGGTGGTCCCCTTGAAATAGTCGGGAAAGGATTACGCGATGCACAGGAAAACTTCTCTTATCCTAGTCCAGAGAACGTCGAATTTTCTGGAATTGCTATGACAAAATTCGGCTTTTTGAAACGATGCTTGAAGAATCGCAGTTAACGCCAGCTGCAACCGTTTACTGATGTTTTACTTTTTAGTGAAGTAGAGCGTTTTACCAATGTCAAATACTTTGGATGCAATCATTTTCACAATGTCAATGTCAACTAATCTTGTATCACGGATTGAAGCGATTTGATTGGATACAGCGAATACAGCCAATCAGAGTTGAAGGATTATCGCTTTGTGTTCACAGACTTTCTGTCGAGGTCTCTAATTGGCTGTATATTCGCTAGCGTACAATCCATATCGCTTCATTTACAAACTTCCAAGATACAAGAAGGGTGACTATTGCAGTACGAAGTTCGTATTAGCTCGACAATGTGAAGATGGGATGCAATATGATGCTCCGAGCCTCATGTCAACCACAGTCCACCATAACACAATAGCCCACACTAGCACCCCTTAACCTGTTAACACGAATTCAAATGACGATAACCGTTCAATAGACACGCATTGTTGTTTGGGGTTGAATGGTTGTAGCGAAGTATCGGATTGTTTGTTATAAAAATGTTAATGGTCGTTTCAGGTACAAGTGCTATCGCTATGTATTGGTCACTTACAGTAATAATGGTAGCAGTCGTCAAATATTTCACCAAATAAACCCTTCCTCAGGTTTATGTTGCAATTTTACTATTTATCATTGTAATGTTTCATTTGTGATTCATTATATAATATACATCTGTAAACTTTAAACTGTTGACTGTTGTTTTGGATCAATGATCAGGGGTAGTGAAATGAATTGATCATTTGTGATCACGTTTTTTCCCCTGTCGACAAACCATGCCCTCATTCGTCTTACCGTGGTAACACAAGTCAGAAACAATACATATTCATAGCTGAATATTGTCCAAACAAAATTGGTCCTGCTGTCTTACTAGTAAAATCTCCGCCAATAAAAACAAATCACTTGTTATGACGCTGTGTTTGCGAAAAACAGAGTGTCATTAAATGTTTTGATTTATTTGGACGGTACAGAATTGAGTAAGATGTTCGATAAAGAGAAAATCAAACATAACTTCCGAATGTTACTTGGAAATAATGTGTTCTGATCTCTTCGAACCGCAAAGCGACGTTGTGATCTTATTCCCGTTCTACCGATCTGATAGGTCAGATTTAAATAACACCATCTCATTTCCAAGCCTACAACACGAAGCCCAATAGTGTAATACAGGTTTAATAAGACCATGTCAAAACCCGTATTCATGAGGATTACATGACAGTAGGTCGAATCTATATTTATATGATGAATTATGCGTTTAATCAAATTAATTAAACAGGCAATAGTTAAGAAAAATGGCATGTAATAAAAGTCCCGTGTTTCTATAGGTTTTCAATGTTGAACTCTAGGCTTGACGCACTATAGTGCAATACCCCCCCCCCCCCCCCCCCCTTTCCAAGCGTGCAATATTGAAACACACGGAACTTTTATTACACACTTGTGCGGTTCGACCATTATATCGGTTGGTATATACAACAAATTATCAAGAATCCTGAAAAAGTCGGCATCATCTACCTAAAAAATAGTAATTTATGCCACGAATCATGTAATGGCTAACCAAATGATAATTTTAATGGAGTTATTTTAATTGTCATTGCTTCTTGAATATCTGAAAACATGCATACCAAAAGTAACATGGATATTACGTTTAAGGATTAAAAAGCATTACAAAACAAATATGCACAATGCACATAGCAACCTAAATTTGCATTACCAAATTGTAATCTATAATTTTATCTCAATATATTGGGCAAAATACAATTGGCTTATCTTATTATTAATCATTAAGGTCGTGTAAAAATACTTGACTGTTTCATTTTCTTTTTTGGAAAGCAATTGTTGTTCAGAAAAACGAAGCCCGACATCCACAATAAGAATTTAACAATACAGTGGCTGCAGCTAATGAGGGGGTATTATCAATCAAAAATAAGGAAGTATTTCATAATGAAAGGAGGTATCAGATATTTAAAGAGTAAGAATACTCTGCCTTGATTTACAGCCCTTTGTCGGAAAATTCTTTTATAGACTTAAATAACTCCGGTAGTCACTACCACGTGCATCTTGTGCTCCAGAGCGAGCTATGCGTTTTCCTTACCTTTTGTACCATCATAGTTTTGGGAAATTGGGGATTTCACAAGATGATTATAGAATCTTTTCCCATAGAAATCTGAAGTTGTAAGCGAAAGACTTCCTCGGGAGCAGGGTGAAACCTGCATGTCCATAACGATGGCTAACGTTTAGACCTAATGATATATAAAGATTTGAGTCTTGTAGGTGCGAGTTGCACCCCTTATTTCATTTTTATTGATTGATTTTCTCTAAACATCAAGGTAAATGAGTGCTTGCCGGTTTATAAATCAGATAAAATGCTTCCCCTCGGGTTTATATGATATCAAAAACCCTTTCCCTCGGCAAATCCCCCGAGATCATGATAAAACCCCGGTACATAAACTTTAAAATACATGTACATTTTTCATTTGGCCTTAAGAGATGATTCTTCCTGGTGTTTATCTTATCACAGAGATAACTGTTGAACAATAATTCTAACATGTTATCTGTTGACTACAACCTGCAGATTATAGACAGATAACATATATTTTACAGCAAGGTAAGCCTGGCATTTTACAAGAATTTCTGTTTTATGGAATCTTCTGTGGTCAGCTCAGTCTGTTTCGGATACTATTGGGTAGTATTGATGCTTCTTCTATCAATGGAATCTAGAAGGATATATTTTGTACAAGTGATATGTGCTTCTTCCACGCATTAAGCTCAATTTTAGATATGCCAGTAATTTTTTAAGATAAAAATTTGACGTCTAGTTAAATAAATAAAGACAAAATAGATTATATTTCTGGGAAGGGAGTGGCTTGTAAAGTAATAACTAATTGTTTACACCATTCTATGGATATAATTATAATTTGTCAATAACGGCATGGGTAACAAGACTTCATACCTAAAATTGAGATTAATCAGGAAATTGACTATCTCCAGAGCATCAATTAAGCTGCGGGCGTACGATCGGTCTTGGTTGGCGATTCAGTCAGTCAGTCGTTTTCGTTTGTCGATAATCACGAGATGAACATGCAATTGAAGCGGTAATCAGTCAATTGGGCACAAGTCAGTTAGACACGGTACTTTGGGCATATTTAGTTCATTTGGGTACAGCTTTATATAGGCATATATAGTGATTTGGGCACACCTTCAGTTAAGCACATATTCTTGTAGACAGACACTTTTTATGCACACTAATATTCGGCACAATGTCTTTTAGACTCACCAATATTGGACACAATTAAGGCACATCTTGCCAGGGTCGGAAAAGGTAGCGAAATGGGGCAATGCCCCAACCGCCCAAGAATAAGAGCGAAAAATGAAAGAAAACAATAATAAAGAAACAGGCAAAATGAAAGAACGAAAAAAGAGAGGTCATCCTGGTCACATGAGGAAGAACGCATTTGAAATTCACACATGGATCTTGTTCCTAGGTGGTATCACTATCACAAATTCAAAATGCATAAAATGCAGGATTAAAGTCAAGGCACACGGTAAATTTTCATGAGCTTTCGCCATTTGACGATAAAATAGTTAGGTTTTTTTTTCCATTCAAATGACGCAATGTCTATGTTCAGTATCAGAGCTGTATCAGAGCTACATTAACAAAGAATGTCATCCAGTTTGTGAATCTTTATAATAAGTGTTTATTGCATAATTTATATTTTACATATACAGTCGAGTAACCTGATTTCGTGGAAACCTATTATTCGTGGATTTCCGGAAATGATTAATTATTTACGTGAGCGACCTTGCGCGACCTCCGCATTCGTTTGTTTTGATAAACATGGGTTTTCTGTACAATATCAGCTAATAGAATGAATTCAAGTAAGGTAAAATGTATTAATGTATACTTTGACAAATACAAATTGGCGGATTTCACTTATTACCAAACGTCACCATTTTTTATCGGCCGAATTTCCTTATAATCCCAAGGGGTAATCGGAATTCCACGTGTCGTCTGCTAGAATGTAGTCAAACGAATGAAGTCACGTGATCAACTAGCGGATTCCGTGTCAGTAGAAAATTTCTATGGAACACAAAGTGGACCATATTCTTATGTTGTTTCAATGACTTTTAGCAATAAATCACTCTACGTATCTTATTTTGTCAGTCACTAGTTTTTTTTTAAAATCGTAGTTCTTTGAATGAATTGATATTAAAGATAAATGCTAAGAGAAGTTAATTATACCACCCGGTATCCATACAACGTGTTTATAGATCAAACATTGTACACGAAAATAGGTGACGCATTCTGCCGCCGTTGCCGAGTTGGTTGCTCATGAAATATGGGTCAAAGTGAAGGATTCATAAAGAAAATCGAAATAAACCAATTTTAATTATTTTGTAGAATATCTGAGGAAACATCTAAGACATAAAATTTTTTTTTCGTTTTTTTAACTTTGACGAAATTCGGTGTTGAATCCTTATATCCACGAAAATAGGTTACACCACTGTACCATGATAAAACAACCAATTATTATTCATGAAATATTGTTAGTTGAGTACAATATTTTTTTCAAAATGAAAACTATTTCGCCTAGCGAATGTTTTTAATCGCACAGTGATTTGATCAAAATCAATCTCCAAACAATGTTATCTGCTCTTACCAGTTTACTTGGCAATACGCCAGCCTTTCATGGCCAAGTCGATTTTCAACTCACGGAAACTAACGAAAATTAGCGATGGTTGAGCCGAATGATATGAACCGTGCCTAAATGAACGTATGCTTAAAATATTTATGCCTAAATGACAGTGAACCGATGACGCTCTGTCTTTTCTCGTCGTAATTTACATTCGCTTCGGCGACAAAAAAATCGGCGACAAAAGCTGTTCATGTGCTCGAAGCATAAATTGGGATGTAGCCTTGAGTCACAAGTAAAAATATTAATAAACTAGTATCACATTCTAAGGTATGTCACCTGTGATATTCAGACAACTTCAAAGAGTATATTATTGGGTTTAAATTTATTTTGAAGTTATGAATATGTGAAAATATCATAAGAAATTAAACCTAAAGGTGTCCTGGTTCTTAGATTCAGACTACAAAAATATTGCTCAATTTAGCACATAAAACCTTCAAGGCTGTAATTATGGTTTTAAAGGTCTTTTAGCTACCTCAGAAAGCTCTTATTTTTTCTTTATTTGTTACAAATCATGTTGACGATATGATATGAACAAAATATAACACCAACACCAATTGAGGCAACGGTGTTCGTTTTCGTTTTAGTGTGCGATATAGATCTCACCAACTGAATATAGCATTCTGAAGATGCAAAACCCAGGTTATGTTTCCGATACTTCGGATGAGGAATATGAGGACGACCAGAATAGAGAAAGTAGTGATGAAGAAGAAGACTCGATTGATGTTACTGAAACCGTAGGTAGCAGTTTTATCAGTGATGACTATGAGGAGACTGAGGCCGAATTAAAGCCGTAAGTAATCCGGACAGTCTGAGACTTGACTGGACATTTTTATTTAGGCCTATATGGACGAAATCGTCTTGAGTATTTTCAGCATCTGATTCTGTGGATTATAATTTTGTCAAAGTAGTTTTTGAATTTAGGAATTTACAATTCCAAGTACTACTTTTGTATATTGTCTGACCCACGAAATCCAAGAAAATTCTTCCCTGTGAATATCAATGATATTTTTTATGCACCTTGTTCTGACTATGATAAATATACATTTGTAGTAAGATCCCCCCCCCCCCTCCTTCCTTCCTGACAAATTAAAGGGATGTAGTCATCAAAGAGTTAATGCAATGTGGGATGTCTCAATCAGATGAAGCAAACTTTTGTCATTTTTTGGCAATCATAAACATTAGTACTGCAACCGAGGATGTTCCTAAAAATGTCTGAGGAGGGGGCAATAAATGAGTGTGGTCTATCCGAGGCGTGGCCCAAAGGACCAAAGCCCCTTGAGGTCAGACACGGGCAAAAAGGAGGGAGGGTGTCATGACCCATTGAAGCTCACCTTAATACGCTACTGACTGCAACTTTGTACTAGACACACTTGTGAACCCGCTCATCTGCAAATAGCGTGCCAAACATCTGATCAAATACGTGTCAGTCCCTGGCATCCTATGTTTCCCAAAATCAAAATGGAAAGAGCCAATCACAATTTTACTAGTAATGATGACCTTATTTCTTCTGTGAAAAACTTTTCAGCGTGACTGTATTTAAATCTTTCAGAGTTAGGCTTAAAACATTTCAACCAGCCCTCGTATTATTCGGGTTATCTACTGAATCATCTCATGCAAATCTACACAATAAAACAATTGATTGGGGTAGCAGCAATTAATTTCTCTTCTCAGTGTTCATTGACAATAATTCACCAGTTATAAAGAAAAATTATACCGTTAAGCAACGCCAATTTCTTTAGATGTGAAAAAGCAAGGTGGCCCTGAACGGATTTATCGATACAGTAGAAAATCAAATCGAGCCCGTGTTCTTGCTTGTTCTATTTTTTCGCTTAGCCTAGCGCCTATTTCAAGAAATTTGTTACAGGAGGAATAAACACTAAGTAATACCAGAAAAATAATGGAACTCATAAATATATCCTTTTTAATTCATTTCATATCTTGCAGGAAGCAAAAGAAATGGGACCTGTTTCAGACATTTCCTGAAAAAAGAAATCAGGAAGCCATCAACGAATATTGGAATAAGGTCAACGTCTGCATCAAGATCTTCTTATGTATTATATTTTTCTTGATTGTCCTAGCCACAAGTTTGATTACAAAGTTAACATTTATCATCATCGCCTATAATATCAATATACCATCGAATAATCTAGATTTCGAGTTCCTGAAACCCAAACTCCGAATAAAAGATAAAACAATGGAAACTGATATACGGTGGATCTGGTCATTGGTTTTAATTATCATTGCACCCTATATTTTTAACTTAGCCAAATGCCTTCATACACAATGTTTTAAGAAAGCGAAGAAGATGAAATGGAAATACCTACCATTTGTAAGTCTTTATGATTATCATTTTTCTAGATGTGCTTGTATCATCTTCCAAATAATAATGGGGTACACGAGTAGCAATATGCGAGTAGTTGAAGTTTGTCTTTGTTTTCACTCTACAGAGGTGAAATGAAATTTTGTTTTTTTTGCATAGTAGAGAGTCTGAAAATTGATGAGTTTTGGAGTCCTCAATGCTTATCTTTATCTTTTGTTTATTTAGTAATGGCACTGAGGAGATCATGATTATGAATTATCTTTGTCATTATGTTTAAATTTCAAACATAATTTTGCTGTCCTTAATGTTTACATCGTAATGTTTTGAATTTTTCAGACGCTAATTATAGAAACCATCCATTCAATAGGCCTCGGAATATTCGTATATATAGCATCGTCTTCTGGAGACGCATTATACACTCTTTACATGATGCAAGGTGTCAGTCTGGTACCTGCCATTTTGAAATGCCTCCCGTCTTACAGAGCCGGCAAAAGTACTAGCGGCACCAGTATGATTGTAGCATGTTTATCTGCCATAATTCATGGTGGATTTTTAGTTATCATTGGAGTTAAATCGACTTCTGAGGCATCTAACAGTCAATGGCTCTTTCCAGTTGCATTGTTGTTAATATCAGTACATTGGTGGGAAAACTTCGTTCCAAGAACTGGTGAAAAAAAAAGTAAATATCAGGGGTCTTTGGAACGGATTGCTAATAAAATCCGACATACGAAGTTGGAGTTTTGTGGAATGCTTTTTAAACTTATTATCACCTTTTTGGTACCGATCGTGATATTCGCCCCTAGAAACTGTGGGAAGACGTTATTTCTACAGTCCGAAAAAGACCGTTCTGATTGTTCGTTATTCGGTAATGTGACCTTGGTAAACAAGCCTGAAGGGTATACAATAACATACGTGCCCTTAATATTAGCTGGAGTTAACATACTGTCGAGTGTTATTGGCTTCAAAGTAGCGAAAACTGCTTGTGTCATCCGTTCCCAGATTGCCTGTTTCACAATTCCGTTGATACTGGTCACTCCATTATCGTTTGTTATAATTCTGTTATCTTATAAACAGCATTTTATACAAAGCATATTGCCTCATCATGTCGCGTGGCCAGTATTAAGGGAAAGTGCCTCTTGGATAGATTTTTTGAATGTTTATTCGACTAATCTCTATTTACCAATTATGTTCGTAGAGTTTATAAACTTATTGATTACCGTGGACTATTTGTGGAAACCAGGTACCGAAAAAACTGCCTCAACAGCAATGTAAGTACAGATATGCTCCAATGACAATAAAGCACGCATTCATTTGAGTAAGACCTTTCTTGCACTGACCAATCTAGTTTGGCATATTCAGCAAATATTTTGTATGGATAAATCTTAGCTGGACCACCATAAAGTAACTGGTCAATATTCCAGCATTCTTTTAATGCTTTTGTAATGATTGATTTATGACCACAATAACCATTTTCGTATCTTGTGGATCTTTTTTTTTAATTCATAACCGCAATGCTATTATAACAAATGACAATCATGTTAATATTCATATACATCATCCTTTTATTAGGTTATTCGTAAAACCACTGTATTGTGGAATCTTATTCGACCAATCTTTAATGTTAAATAGAAGCAGTGATGATGATATTGATAGAAAGAAACAAGTTAAACAAACGGTAGGTATGACTTAAACGCTGTTTTTTATCCAGTGGCGGCGCCATATGTGGGCAGAATGACTTAATGGGGGACAACTATCGAGCTTGGGATTCAAAACTCCGAGGAAGTTCATACGCGTTTGAAGCGTCTGATACAATTTTCTGAAGAAGATTTTTTTTAAATATAATTCATTTGGTGAATTCTGATTATTATGTGGCTTATATGTATAAAAATCATATTTTGAATTTTGTTAGAAATAAAGTTGAGGTACAAACCATTTGTCTATGGCCCTTTTTTAGCTTAACAAATTAAAAATATGATTTCTATTCGTTTTTGCTTCAAAATATTTGTTAGAATGCACCTATTCAATTCTATTTTTGGATAAGAACCCTCTGAAACGCTCTAACGCGGTTCAGTGCAGTTCTGCAGAGATTAATCTGTATTCTCGAGAGGCTGGCACCGCAACATACATTTATGATTCATGATTTAAGATATTGACTTCACAACAAACAAATTCTTGCACTCTTGTTACCACGGTTAGATCACAATACCCTTTAAGTTTCTTTTCAGTGAGATTTGATTTTTCCTTTAGGATCATCTGAAGAAAGAATTACAAGAAAACACAATGGGTAATTCATTTTCACGAACCACGAGTTCTCACAAAGAGAAAGTTATACCAAAGATCTATGCTTGTGCTACACTGTGGCGTGAAAATGAAAAGGAGATGACACAACTGTTGAAATCCATATTCAGGTTGGCGAATTGAACTATAAATTCTTAATTCGTCTTTATTTTCGTTGTTGTATTGAGCTTCATTGAGTACTGTAGAGTGGTATATCCACTCTTTCAAAACACATGATAACAGTGTGCAAGTTGGTTTGTCATATCGGCTTTTTTGTATACTGTGGTTATATTTCTTTGAAAATAACTTTGTCGGCTAGAATATAGGAGGCACTTCATTAATGCTTTCTTACATAACCTTGCCATAATTAAAGGGATACAGTGATTTTAATTATATTTAGATATTAAGGTGACTAAACTATTATGCTTGTAAATGTGTGTTAGCAATATAACATGTTATAATGCATATTATGTTTCTCTTTTGCTTCAGAATGGATTTGGATCAATTCGATAAAAGTTTCGCCAAGCGAATTTCAGATGGTCCAAAACCGCATACATATGAATTCGAAGGTATGTTATATTCAACATCGTCAATGATATGATCAAACTACATTCTCTACATCGGCCTGCATTTAACATTAGTATAGATATGAACTTAAACGATCCACCGTGACAGGTATCGCTTTGCAACAAATCACGATGTCTATTTATGACCAGGTTCACATTAAAGGACTAACACGTCATTAGTTAATAAGTCGGTTGTCAATACGTTACAGACAATATTCACGTCGCAATGTTATACCCACACAAAAAGCTTCGTTAAAGCGCAGAAGTAAAGAGGAACGCATTTATGACATAATTGTCAGAATATTTACTTCTTTCAAAGGATAGGCAAAGTAGAACTCTCAGCATTTTGTGTTGTTTTTATTTGCAGCTCACATATTCTTTGATGACGCATTTAAAGAGGACAGCAAGAAGTATACAGTTAATAGATATGTTCTTCAGCTTTTGAAGGTGATAGAAATGGCCTCAAGGTAGACACATGCCTCTGACACTTGAAAGTTTAACAGTACAGTTCACTGTATACATGTGTATCGCATCGTTACAACTCGTCTGAAGTTTTTTTTATACGATGCGTTATAGACCCGGGGATGAACGAGGTATATCGCCACATTTGTGGGTAGAGAAACGCTTGTTTTGAAGACAGGACATTTAAAGATAAAATCTGTGGTATGGTAAATGTCTCAAGAAGATTTGAACTTAAATCTATAGTTATATTATATAGATTAACGGCAATCCGTCTACTCATTTTTTGATAATAAAATGTAGATTAATTGTAGGTAACTGCATATATTAGGTATCTTGATTTGAATTAGATTTGTTAATAGTATACGGTGACTATGTTGAAGTGAAGATAAGCCGAAAAGGTTATAACTTCTTAAAATAGCCCAGTAGATTTACAGAGAGAATACAACGGATGACGTCATAAATAGACAACGGCATATCAAACAAATTTGGTCCAAATGTTTGATAGGTATTTTCTATTTGGCCCATGTTGCATGGGTTGCAACCCATTGACCCATCAGGCTTGGATTTTCTACCTACATGTATGGCTATTTTCATTTTTTATGCGCCCACGTGAAATGGGAGCGTACCCATGTCTGTACGTCGATCCTTCCCCGTCATCCCACGGGATGAACCCGATTAAAAAATCGAAAAATATTTAGTTTGAGTTGTTGCCTTTGTTCTTGAAAACACGTTCAATTTTCAGCACGTAAACACTCTAGAAGGCGCGATTTGGCGTCTTTTTTTTATCACCGATGGATGAACTTTATTGAAAATCAAAAAATGCTTTATAGCACTTATTGAACTTGTTCTTGAAAACGCTTTCAATATTTACTAAACGCATAATTCCTGCCAGATTTTGACAAAACCTGGTAATATTATTCTTTATCGACCCAAAAAGTTTAAAAGATGTGTATGACTGAAGGTTGAATATTTAGTACTGTACTGCTAAATATTTTTATTCGAAATCTAAGCTGCCAGTGGGCGTATATTACCTTGTCTGGCAAGCTATCTTTAAGTTAAATAATCGCTGCGTTCTTAGCCATTTTGATTGGTTATTTTGGTTACAAATAAAGATAAAACGAAGGTGAATTTGTAAGTGAAATGACCAAAAACCACCACATTTAATGTGCTCGATGCTTATCTTTCAGAGCTGTTTATATTGACTCAGTTGAGCTATCGAAACCTAATAAATACCTTACACCATATGGTGGGCGGTTTGAGTGGACAATGCCTGGTGATAATTTGTTGGTTGTTCATTTTAAAGATAAGAAGAAAATACGAGTTAAGAAAAGATGGAGTCAGGTAAGTATGCTACCTCTTGCGTTTGTAAAATACAGTAGAAATAAGTCTTAAAGTCGAGAGTAGTAATGGCTGCAGTTGGCTTCCAAACATATCTTTTATCGATATAACTGTGAATAATTTGAATAATGTCTATTTGGGACATTCCAATTATTCGTCCGATACCTGAAATTACAGGAATCGCAGGCATTAGACGAAGATTTGGAATGTCCCAAATAGAATTCAAAGGTGTCCCCGATACACATAACAAGGCTAGAAAACCTCTTTACAATCCCTTTAAGCCGGGTGCCCATTTGATCGATTATAGCGCGATTTTGCTCGGCTAGAGTGACTAACATGTTGAAAGATCTAAGATCGACCCTCCTGAGAGTAACTCTCAAAATATACTCTGAAATAGAGCCTGGGGCAATGACAGATCTCTCATGAGTAGCTCGAGAAAACTCGCAGAAAAAACTCGCAGCCCGGTTTTACAAGACAGATTGAAGAATTGACGTGAAAAAGCAATACTGGCTATATGGACTCTCCAAACTGAATGCTAAGTGTTTATTCTAGTGGAGCTACAATATTCAATGTTCACTACAGTTTGTTGTTCAGTATTAAAGCCCTATGTATGCATAATCTTCTACTACATCGATAATCTCACACCGTACCGGACACGGTTAAGGAAAACATTAAGATTACATCTTGTTCTCTACATGCTTTTCACTTCTATCTATTTGTGCTATTATAGGTTATGTATATGTATTACCTACTGTCCTATCGAATAATTGATAATAATACCATCCCCAAACACAAAAAGTTTTCTACAGCATCAAATACATTTATACTAGCTCTTGATGGCGATATCGATTTTTATCCTGATGCTGTACATTTGTTACTGGATCGGATGAGAAAGGATGGACAACTTGGTGCTGCTGCAGGCAGAATTCATCCAAAAGGATCTGGTAAGATAAAGGTTTATGAAGGACACATTACCATTATCATATTGAATTGAAATAAAGACAATAGGACCAAATCATCATCTTATGATCTGAACCCAAAATGATAATAAAGTGTGTCATTGGTAAACCGATAGTACAAATAAGATATTAAATGCATAATTTTGTGTCAGAATTATCACTTGAAGGCTATAAAGCTAGGGACTATATTCAGTTTGCAATAATTTGACCATTCATCGCTGCAGCAAATGAGAATTATCGAAAGGTCATCCTCCTGAAATATACATAAATATAAATGAAAAATGCAATAAAAGGAGACTTGATCGTGTTATTTGCAAAATATAGGGCCGTGGGTTCTAATCTAGATCGGTATGTGATAAGTCCGTTGACCTTCAATCGGTCAATTAAGTAGGCATGGTTAATGCGGGAACGATCAATGGCAAGAGGTTGGACCAAGGACTAGCTTGAAGACATGATCTTAAGTGAACCTAACTTGATACCCTGGTTGTTTTTTTCTGTAAAAGGATCCAGTAATTCGGGTCGCATATTTTCATGCAACTACTATAACTTGTGCTTTGATTTTGACATGAAGATCAGAAATTTTTCTATACATAAGGTCCTATGGTTTGGTACCAAAAGTTCGAGTATTCTGTTGGTCATTGGTTACAGAAAGCAACAGAGCATAAACTAGGTTGTGTCCTCTGTAGTCCTGGTTGTTTTAGTCTCTTCAGAGGAAGTGCTCTTTTACAACATAACGTTATCAACAAATACGCAACAATTCCTAGACAAGCTCATCATTATATACAATTTGATATGGGTACGTTATTTCATTCTTTTAGAAAAGGTTTAGATCTTGGGATGGTACTGAGATCTACTAAGCTATGAAATGTTCAATATAAAGACACGAAAGAAATGAAAATGAAAAGATGTGTTCGGAGTTATTTCCCTTGATGTACATCCCTCGCGTTCTTGGTCTTCTTTGCACAGTAACATGAAGGAAGCATTTTTAAAAAAATCCACTCACTTCCTTTTTATAGAACACCCGAAGGTGAATCCTGAAATCCGATATCTAATAATAGTATGTTCATTTTAGGAGAAGACAGATGGCTATGTACTCTGTTATTACAAGCTGGTAAACGTATTGAGTACTGTGCTGCAGCTGATGCTTCCACGTTCTGCCCAGAGGGATTTACAGAGTTCTATAACCAGAGAAGACGTTGGACACCATCCACCATGGCTAATATCATTGATCTTCTTAGTTCTGGGAATTCACTACGGAATAACAACCCAAATATTTCAGTCTTGTATATTATGTATCAAGTTTTCCTGTTCGTGTCGTCAATTCTTACACCCGGAACAATTTTCTTGTTGATTTTGGGCGCTTTTAACACGGCTTATCCTACAGTACCGTTATATGTTGCACTGATTCTGAATCTACTACCGGTTGTTGTGTTCATCATTTTGTGTTACTCTGCCACAGAAAATATTCAGGTTTGTAAATATCAGAACTAAATTAAGGGAATATTTGACGAAATATTGACCTTTTGACCCCAGCCAGTGTTACCAGATAATATTGCCCAATTCCAGCTATTGGTAACAACTTTCAGAATTGAAATCTGACGCCCTGTTCTCCCACAGTTCAATGAACTCATCAATTTAGACCCTAGTCGTCATATGAAAGGTGTTATTGATCTTGGAGAGTGCAGATATTACCAAAATTACTGCAACCGAATCAAACCCGGCGTGTTATGCTTTTGTGACAATTGTATGAGTTGCCAGTCGGAATGTGATTTTAAAAGTTGACATTGAGCTCTGTAAGATACGCACAAGTTAAAATGTAAAATGTAAGGATGAACACTGAACAACGCAGGTGGTTACCTTCCCTTCCCCAAAATACAGAAAAGGAGACATAATGTAATTTGTACACTTTAATTTTTTAACCACCCGTTCATTAAATAATGTTATTAGATGTCGGTTTATGTTTTTCAGCTTGGGTATGCCGCTGTAATGTCAACAATTTATTCCCTTGTAATGATGATTGTAATTGTCGGTTTAATCAAACAAATAGTAGAAAGTGAATTCTGCTCAGTCACCGCTATTTTCTTCTTGGGTGTGGTCGGAATATTTGTGATATCAGCCATGTTTCATCCGAGAGAGATCCTAAACATTTTCCACGGATTCATGTATTTCCTGACCATTCCATCATCGTCGATGTTACTCATCATTTATGCTTTGGGGAACCTAAATAATGGTTCTTGGGGAACTCGCGTTGACACAACTGTGCCAGCACGCACTGAAATTCCTGATGAAATGATGAACGACACGAATGCAACAAAGACTAAACCAAAATTGGGTGCCCTCAGTCCAGATACCTTATTCGAGACCATAAGAACCAAATTTTCTTCAGATTACGTATTTTCTTTTGGAAACTTATTTCGGTGTTTGTGTTGTCCCACTGGCCAAGTCAAAGAGGAAGATGTAAAGATGAAAGCTATATTAGAGAAGTTAGAGAGTGTAGAAGACCAACTTGATGATCTGAAGAATGTTGTAAGAGGTAAATCCAGATCGGTACAGGAAGACGAATGGAATAATTTGCCGTATTTAGCTCCGGATAAGGGGACTCAGGCGTTTAGTGCAGCAACTTCCAGCTTCCATCCAGCAAAAATACATCTAGGTATTAGTTTTTTTGTTTTATTATTTAAGAAAATGAATAGTTGAAGGGAGGGGGGGGGGGGGTGGGGGGGGGGGGGCTGTCGGGGGTCCAACGGCGTTCGTTTTCTAGTCCATCGTTAAGAAGGATGTGATAATACTAGTCCTTTGCTAAAATCGATTATATAAGTGTTCAGTTTACAATTTCAGTTATGATCTTTGTTTTACAGCGAATCCACTTTTTCAAAGTGAAGATGATGAAGAGCCAGTTGATGATACTAAATGGATCAATGAACCAAATCTTAATGGTTATCTAGATATTCTTGATAAAGAAGAATTGAATTTCTGGGTTGAATTTATTCAAAAATATATGACGCCGGAAATCAAGACTGTAGAGGAAGAAGCACAGGTTGCTAAAGATTTAGGAACACTGCGAAACAAAGTCTGTCTATTTTTCTTCTTATTGAATGCACTGTTCATTACCATTATTTTCATTCTGGAAAGTGTTTCCCGCTATTCTCCAGGACTATCAATTAGACTTCCTTGTGACACTGGTGGTGCAGGGCAAAAAATCGAACCCATCTCCATCGCCTTTACTCTAATTTTTGGTATCTTACTACTGCTGCAATTTATATGTATGCTCTTTCACCGAGTGTCAACTCTTATACACATAGCTTCAACAACTAATATCCAGTTCAAGAAGACCCAATGGGATCAAGAAAAGGCACGACGCCAAGCTATAGAACATTATAATACTATTAAACGAAAGGGTAGCTTTGGGTCCGTATCAACAACCGATTCTATGATGAGTGATGATGAGGGAACGTATATCAACACTGTGGATAGAAAGGAGAGAAGGTTCATTCAAAATTTACTGAAAGACAATCGAAGGACAGAAGTAACCAAACACAAGTAATGTATTTGAATTTCTTACGTTGTCACGCTTATATGATTGATCTTATTTATCAATGACGACATGGTGTTTATTTCAGTTTGACGCCATGGACTTTTTAGAGATGAGCCAAAATATATTTAGTTTGGTTTATATGTTTACAGATACAACTGAAAATACTGTGAAATTTATTATGAGATGGTTGATTTATATATACCCATAAAGTTAATAATTTTGTAAACGTATTTCAATTTTGGTTTATAACTTTGTATACTTTTATTTTATTTCAGGTTGATGGATGTTTATACAGATAAAACGAATACATTTGTAAAGGTTCTTGAAAGAATCAACACCGATGCTACGGACAAAGACATCGAAAGAAGTGCGAAGAGGAAATTCAAAAGCATGCCAGCTAAATCGATCAAAACCATCATAGAGATGGCCAAAGACGACAAATATAAAGAGTCATTGAAGAAAAAGGCTAAAGCTTTAAGGTTGTGGAAAGTAGCCCAGTCCCAAATGATTAAACCTAAGCCTACTTTTGACTTAAAGGCCATAGTGGACCAAGCAGTTGAACAGAAAAAGAAGTCTGTGGAAATGGAATCCAAAATGCAGTCTACAGAAAATGGAGAGGTTGTAAACAGCGTGAATAGTACGTCTGCTGACGGCGAAACACAAAATAGGAAAAGAAGCGTTCAATTCAGCCCGATAGAAGACACCCAGATTCCATCGAGCTCAAAAGCTGTGCATAGTGCCTCTAAAAGTAAAATGTGGTCGAAAGTTGCTGCTAGTTTAGTCAATGTAGATGACAAGTCTTCGTCTAAACTTGAGACTATCAATCCGGTGACAGAAAATGAACCTGAAGATATGGATGATTCAAATACAACAACCGTCACTGAATTTTAAGAAGAATAGTCAATAGTATTGACCATGTATATTATGTTTCATTCATATGAAGTATTATTTCGTTTAGTGATCAAATCTTTACCAGTGGGTGTATGGAACAAGGAACATGGGGAAACTGATAGCATCAATGTTCCCGATACACATGCAAAGTGTAGAAAACATCTTACAATCCCCTTAAAGGGACATTCCGCTTTTTTGTAAGTCTGATTTTTACTCAAATTTGTGAAAACTATAAACCAAAATCTATAGAAATGTATTCCCTAACGTATCTGAAAGTTTTAACTAAAAAAATCCATTAATTTTTTAACGTCAAACTTTTACGTAAAAGATTACATAACCTTATAAGTTTGTTAAGCTTTTTGTAAGCTGTTAGAAAACTACTATACGGATTTGAGTAAACTAATTGTAGAGAAATATGTCTCCTAAGCTTTCTAAAGATTTCAACTATAACGAGCCGTTATAAATCCAAACATCGAAACTAGGTCAAACTGCTCAATTAACAATTAGTACTCTCAATTTTTAATTAACCGTTGTAAAACAAATTCAGTTTGATCAAGCTTAGTAATATGGTATAATTTACAACATTTTTGATTATGAAAATGTTTTACAATCATATTAAGTAAAATTTTCTTGTTTAAGATTTGGAACGAGGGAGGGAAGCGACCATGCTGCGCCCACCTCTTAACTGAAAAAAGTTTACGTTATAAAAACTGTCATTTAAAATGTGAGCTTTTAATTTTTAACGAATAATTTTCCTCCAAATAGAAAATGTACCAACAGCCTATTGGAGGACAATAAAAAATTTGGTTATAACTACAGTTTCAGTTACTTGGAATAATGAACGTGTCATGCATTCGTTTTTGTACAACACATCAAATTACATTCCATCTTATTCTTTATAATATTTCGTATTGTAATAATTTTTTGATCACCATACTGTCGTTGTATGTTGGGGACCATGTCGAGGGAAATCAGAGGCCCATTCGAGTTGTTCAAATACGATGTTTATTCAGACAAGACATGACTGGGTGTGTCTCGATCTCGATGTGAACTGATCTCAGAAGGGGTATGGGAAGGCGGTGTTCGATTATTGGTCTATTTTTAGAAACGATTGCACGTGCAGTGCGTTCGATAATCGATTCACTTTAATGTTTGATCACCATCCCACACATATCCCACTGCTTGAGCAGTTCCTGCACTCGGCGCCATCTTTTTCGAGGATTATAACGACAATTGTCGACTGACTCCGGAGCCAGTTGACCACTAACTTGCCCGTGTAGGAAATGATTTGGGGTTAACACAGGATCATCCAACGAATCATCGCCGACGTAACACAATGGCCTGGAATTAATCAGACCTTCAGCTTTTGTAAAAGCGGTAATTAGCTCTTCATAACTCACATTGGCATCACTGGTTACTGCTGTGATAGCCCGTTTCGCAGACTTTATCATAGCTTCGAATAACCCACCAAAATGCGGGGAAAGTGGGGGATTAAACTTCCATTCTATCCCTTTGTTTGCCAATGAATTACCAATTTGATTTTGATCTAAGGCCTTTATCAAATCGCCCAATTCCCGCTCAGCACTTACGAAATTTGACCCATTGTCAGACAATACAGTTACGGGTTTACCACGACGGTTTGTAAATCGACTAAAGGCACATAAGAAGGACTCTGTGTCCATACTCCATGCCATTTCCAAATGACAAGCACGACTCGATAAGCAAGTAAATAAACACAAATACCTTTTTGTTCTTGTTTTACCCCTACCTTCTTTTGTAAAGAAAGGTCCAGCATAGTCAACACCTATCTTGGCAAATGCACGTAACGGAGTTGCAACTCTATACTCTGGAAGTGGTGCCATGATTTGCTCAGCAGGTTTTTTACGACGCCTAGAACACTCATTGCAAGCAGACTTTACAGATTTTACAAGACAACGTGCACGTATAATCCAAAACTTAGTCCGTAAAAGTGACAAAATGTGAGAAACACCGATATCATGATTTTCACTTTCGTGACAATCCAACATGATTAAACGGGATACATCACTGTTCTCGGGCAATATAATTGGAAATTTAGCATCATACGATAAATTGTCAGACTTACCAAGCCTTCCGTCAACTCGAAGCACTCCATTATCATCTAAGCATGGGTGAACTGATAACAGTTTTGAATTATTACCTAAAGGACTTCCCTTACGAATTACATTAATCTCATCCCGAAAAGCAGATACTTGAGCAAATTTATACTAAGGCTGTATCCACGTAAGTAGGTATAACAATTACCGGCCAGTGCGATTGATCTTGCAAAAGGAAAGATGTACCAAACCACCAAGCGTTACTTTCAGCCAATTCTGTAACTGTCATGCTACGAACCTCTGCTAAGGCTGTATCCACGTAAGTAGGTATAACAATTACCGGCCAGTGCGATTGATCTTGCAAAAGGAAAGATGGACCAAACCACCAAGCGTTACTTTCAGCCAATTCTGTAACTGTCATGCTACGTGAAGCTAAATCAGCACTATTTAGATCAGTTGGTACAAAACGCCATTGACTTGGCTTAGTAAGTTCGTGAATCTCACCTATACGATGCGCAACGAATGTTTTATAAATTCTGGACTCACCTTTTATCCAAGATAATACATTTTGTGAATCGCACCAAAAGGTTACCAACTTCACTGAAATGTTTAATACAGAACAAACTCTTGAAATTAAATGAACACCTAGAATTGCGCCACATAATTCAAATTTTGGAGTAGAAATTGCTTTTAAAGGTGCTACCCTGGTTTTTGCAACTATAAGATTAGATGTAACGGTGCCGTCTTCGTACTCGCTTCTAAGGTAACAACATGTCGCGTAAGCCCTCTCAGAGGCGTCAACAAATACATGTAAAGTTTTGTTCAGAATGCGCGATCCCTCTGTTACGAGACACCTTGAAACTTGGACTTTATCTAATAAGTGAAGCTCTTTATACCAATTTGTCCAATTCAAGGCCAGATCTTCGGGCAATTTCTCATCCCAGTCTAATCCACGTACCCAAGTCTTTTGTATACCTAGTTTTGCACGAATAGTGAACGGTGCAACTAAGTTAAGTGGATCAAAAAGAGTGGCTGTTCTACTTACGACTACCCGCTTTGTAAGAACTGTTTCTTGGGGTTTTGTACTTTCAAATGTAAAAGTGTCCGTTTCGGCTTTCCACAAAACACCAAGAGTTTTTACTGAAGGAAGATTGTTATCATCGAGTGCCAGGCAATTAACACGATCTGACACCGGAATGTCCTGCAAAACTTCTGACTTATTAGACAACCAGTTACGAATTTGGAAACCTGCGATATCTAATAATTTGGAAACCTTATGACGTAATTGAATAGCTTCGGATATGGAATCACAACTGTCCAAAAGATCGTCTACATACATAGAGTTCAGAATGGAATTAGATGCGTTTGGATATAATTGGCTATTTCGATTGCAAGGTTCTTGAAGGACCGCTTGAGACAAGTAGGGGGAAGCTGTGTTGCCAAAGACTAGTCTATTATATTTTCATAGATTTTTACCGGTTTAAAGGAATCCAAATCTCGCCATAAGAATCTGTGATACCGTCTATCATCTTCGCGTAACCCAATTCTCAAGAACATCTCGCTTATGTCTGAAGCGACTGCTACTGGTTTGCTACGAAAACGGAGAAGAATATCAGAAAGTTCACATTGAAGTTTCGGGCCAGAGTTAATACAATCATTTAAAGCGATATTGTTAGTAGGTGCGGCAGCATCCATTAGGATACGAACTTTCGTAGTAGTTTTATCATTCCTAACGACTGCGAAATGTGGAAGGTACCACGACGGTTCACTGTGGGACTTAACCTCTGAAACATACCCTTTACGTATTTGATCATTAATGATATCACAATATTGTTCAGCGACTTGTGGTCGTTTAGCCAAAGATCGTTCAAGTTTATACAATCGGTTTAGAGCACTTGGATAATTTGAATTCAGTTCATGAAAGTTCGATTTCCATGGTATGCCAACAATATAACGATTCAATGTTTCATCGAAATGCAAGGTTTCTCTTGTGGACTGGACTGCCTTTTCCTCGGACATCGTCAATACTTTTGATTCGATCCTAGTACCTACGTTTTCGATTTCCCAATAATTTCTAAGCAAGGTGTCTGTATCTGATTCTGCTTTGATATAATAAGTAAAGTGGGAAACTGGTTTTGTACGGTGCTGGAAAGGACAAACAGGACCAATACATGTCCATCCTAATGGCGTTAGACGAGCTACTGGTTCATTAGGAAGACCTGCTATTTCCATGATGGCCCTATGCACACCAGGGACATTAAGACCTACCAGGACATCGACACGAGTGCTCTCAATTTGTGGGAAGGACAACCCTTGTAAATGTGGCCCAAACCGCGACTGTTTATTCCAATCAACTGTACGTAAGTCACCTGTAACATTTTTAACGGTAAGGGCACCGAAGGGGACACAAGTTTTAAAGTCAAGGCTGCAAAGCTCTGCATATTCTGAGTTCAACGATTTTGATTTTCCACCCAAAACGTTTACATTTAAGTCTGAAACTTCACCACGTAAGCCCAATTCTTGCGCTATACCTTCGTTAAGGTAACTGTCTGTTAAACAGTCATCCATCAATGCATTGCAACGTATCGATCGATTGGTACTTCTTAGAACGATTGGAATTACTCTCATGAATACGACAGTGTCTTTCCTAACTTGAGTGTGCGTATGCTTAGTAGATTCTTCAGTCGGACAAGATTGAGACTTATACGATGTATGAGCATTAGAATCGAATGTAACTGGGGGTGCTAAATCTGATCCCCATCCGTGCAACAGAAAGTGATGTGTACGGGAACATCCATCAATCCTACACTGTCGAACATTTTGGCACCTACTACCTTTATGATATGGACTGAGACACCGAAGCATAAGCGTTTGTCTTTTGCTGTTGCCCAACGATCGCTCACAGACAAAAACCGAAATTGCGCACAATTTGTTACCCCATTGTCATGGTTTTGGTTGCAAATGAGACAGAGTTTCGGATTAACGTTTGTTGCAAATGTTTTTGACCTATCATACGAATATCGTGATCTTGGAATGGGTGATTTGTCAGCTCTGCTATTCGAAGAAACTGATAAGGATGGAGAAGCAAAGCCCTCAACTTCTTCCCTGGATTCAATACGATATTTAACCTCTTGCGACAGCCATTCATGAAATGTTACTATTGACTCTGGTTTACGTTCAAGTGTAGCCCACCGTTTATACTGAGCGACATTATTTGAAGATATTCTAGATCTAGCAACACAAAAGAACATGGAGTTTGGTCCGAACTCTTCAGTTCGACCGCTTTCACGTAATGATAATATGCACAGTTCTAAATTGTCTACAAATTCTTCAAATTTCTTAAGATCGTTGAAATTGACCTTTTTAACGTTCAAAATAGACTCCAAATGAATGAGAGCAGCGCGACGCTCACCGCCAAATTTATCTTCAAGTCGTTTGTGGGCGGCTTCGTATCCAAGGTCAGAGGCAGGAAAACCCTCTACTGCTTTTAGAGCTTCGCCTGTTAAATGTTGCTTGAGTTGAAGCATTTTGTATGCTTTTGAAGACGTTGTATTGTCAATGCACTCACGAAAAGCATCGATAAAGGACACATAATCTTTCTTATTGCCAGAGAATTTTCCTATCGAAATCCTACTCAATTGCCTATACATGTCTCTATCAAGTTGGTAAAATTTGAAACCTGATCTGGAGCTTCTTCTGTGCTCTGCGAAGTTTGTTGATCTCGTTGAACATGATCAGGAGTAATACTTTCAGGTTCCGGTGGAGGATTCTGACCAATCTGTGGAGGAGCTACTGTTACTCTGGAGCGTTGTTCAACCACCGTGGACTCGTTGGTTGATGGTCTGCAAAGCCAATTTGTGGCTCAAGAGAGCAGTTCTGAAATGCTAGAATCGGACTGCATAGATTCGAGTTCTGGTTCGTACTCGGGATTCTCGTCACACAAACAGTTGTGAATGTCTATTGCGGTCTCTTGATGCCGTAATATTGCATCGACAGCATTTCGGACTTGTTCTGCCCGTTTCTCACTTGCACAAAGTAAGCTAGTCAGCAAAAGTTTTGATTTAGTAAGTTGTGACTTACATACCCGTTTCTTGCTGCGTAATGAAGCGATGGTCTCTTGATTATCTTTTCCATTTCCGTCGTCGCCAGGATGGCTGGCAGATTGGTCGGTTGTTGTTTGGTTGTTTCCTTGGCCAGGAGTATCTCCCATGCTGGCAATGTAGATTTTTCGACGGTTTCCGAACTTCGATTTCTTCGACTTCGAAAATAAACGAAATAACTATTAACCACGCTCTGCTACCATTATGTTGGGAACCATGTCGATGGAAATCAGAGGCCCATTCGAGTTGTTCAAATACGATGTTTATTCAGACAAGACATGACTGGGTGTGTCTCGATCTCGATGTGAACTGATTTCAGAAGGGGTATGGGAAGGCGGTGTTCGATTATTGATCTATTTTTAGAAACCATTGCACGTGCAGTGCGTTCGATAATCGATTCACTTTAATGTTTGATCACCATCCCACACATTGTAGACCACACTGCTGCGTGCGTCTCCATATGCACTGTGTATAATGGAAGAAACAACCTTTCCATTGGGATTCTGGAAAAAAAAGCCAACGATGCCTTCTTTGCAGCGATCTCGAAATCCATCTAAAAACAATAGAAGTAAATGTTAAAATCTGACAATCCTGTACGATCATTAAAAAAATTACTTTCTGAATGCAAATGCATCTGAACTTCCTTTCCATGGTGTGTTTCGTTTTGCCACGATTCTCACGGCAAGCTAGGGTGAACGATAACCGTTTCGTTAGATTTCAATTACGGTGTGGCGCTTTGCAGGCTGGATCATTACAGAACGTTGAGTTCTGCTACGGTCTGACACGATGCGCATGGTCTTGAAAGGTGTATAAACTTAGCACAACCTAACATATGGAGATAAAACCCCGGGCATTTCGGAAAACGGGACTGCCGTGGCCGCTGCGAACACTGTAGTTTCTAGGGAACATCAAATGAGGGGGCCGAGCAGGGGCCACAAAATTTCTATGTAGAAATTCATTATGTAGAAAAAATTGGGGAGCCAAACCAAAATCTAATCATAATATAAATATCTTAAAAATGGGGGTATAATTGGGGATACGAACCATTTTAGTAGTGGGCTAATGTGCCATCCCCCCACCCAGTACCCCCACCGGCGCCGCCACTGTGTCAGTGACTACCGTAATATTGGACACACATTTACTTACCAAAAATAGATCTTCAATGTACAATGTGGCAACATGTTTCGAAATTGTTTGAATTTCTATGCATGTTTATACTATTGCTAAAAACATAGGAAATGCTAGGGAACGCAACACTGTCGTTTCAAATAATTTCGCAATTCATTTTAGTATCTGGAGCAAAGGCTTTTTTTACACAAAAGATACCAGATTAATGAGTGATTGACAGGTATTGAATATGGTATGACCAATTATATATTTTTCTATTGAAACAGGTCAAATATATATCTTCATTGTACCTATCTTGGGTGTAATATTAATAATTAAAAATATTTTTATTCATTTGACCCATGTGAATTTGTTACTTTTCGTTACCATTGACTCCACATTACTTTTGTATACACGCTTGGCTTGAGGAACATTCATAAAAGACCTTGTATGATATTGACACTTTTAAAGTTAAAAAAAATTATCTACGTGAACTGACATAAAGTTAACACAGCATCATGAAGGCTTTTATCGTTTGTGGTTTGTTGGGTAAGTTTTTGAATTTGATATTTAGGTATAAATAAATACACAAATGCATCGACATCAAATGTCATTTTTGGATGTTTATGGTTATTATAACCCCAAAACAACATATTTCTTGCCGATGATGTGAAACACAGATATACATACATAACGGCTTGTTATCTTTAGTTGAAATCTTTAGAAAGCGTAGAGACATATTTCTCTACAATTAGTCGTTTATAGATCTACTATTAGAATGCATGACATCAATGTTAATATCATTTTGGAAATTTGAATCTATATTTTATATGGATTCCACCCTGGGTGGGAGAATAACGTAGTATATTTAAGCAAACCACAGGCAAAAATTCTTTGGATAATCATCGATTTTAAGATTGCCTGAAGACAAATATATCCTATAAACACTCTTTAAAGGAAGAACCACACAAATAAATGTTATAAATATTACTGGAATAAATGAATAAAATGTATTTATTTATATTAAAGGGGCATTCTGATATTTTCGTAGCGCTAAAATCTAGAGAAATGTGTACTTTAACGTACCAGGAAAATTTCGAACGCCAAAACTAATTAAAAGATGTACGTAAACATTCTAGCGTCGATTTGTTCTCTTTTTTTTTTTTTTTGGTGTCGAAAAAATAATCTACAAATTGAAGCGAAGATTTGATTTCTAATATTGTATATCATTTAGAAAATTGGCTATCAAAAATTAATTTTCTCTTTATTTTCGAATGTTTCCATAAATTTTGAATGATTCTTATTATTTTCAAATTTTACCGTTTATTTTCAAATAATTACCGTTTATTTCCCAATATTACCATGTATTTTCCACTATTACCATTTGTTTTCGAATGTTTCCATAAATTTTGAATGATTCCTATTATTTTCAAATTTTACCGTTTATTTTCAAATAATTACCGTTTATTTCCCAATATTACTATGTATTTTCCACTGTTACCCTTTGTTTTCGAATGTTTCCATAAATTTTGAATGATTCCTATTATTTTCAAATTTTACCGTTTATTTTCAAATAATTACCGTTTATTTCCCAATATTACTATGTATTTTCCACTGTTACCCTTTGTTTTCGAATGTTTCCATAAATTTTGAATGATTCCTATTATTTTCAAATTTTACCGTTTATTTTCAAATAATTACCGTTTATTTCCCAATATTACTATGTATTTTCCACTGTTACCCTTTGTTTTCGAATGTTTCCATAAATTTTGAATGATTCCTATTATTTTCAAATTTTACCGTTTATTTTCAAATAATTACCGTTTATTTCCCAATATTACCATGTATTTTCCACTATTACCCTTTGTTTTCGAATGTTTCCATAAATTTTGAATGATTCCTATTATTTTCAAATATTACCATTTATTTCAAATTTTATTACCATTAATTTAAAACGATTTATTTTCTAAATAAAGTGTCTACTCCACCCTAGGCCTGTACATTTGGGAGAATCAAACCCTCCCTTCCCCGAAATTCAAAAATTGTTTTGGAATTAACGTAATGATGTGCAATCGTTTTAAAAAATAATTCGATCAATAATTATTATTATAAAGTCTTCTGAAAGTTTTATCACTATGGTTTCTGTGTCGTAAAATATACTTGAGACGACAATTTTCTTACACTCTAGGTCATTTCGAAAGTTCGCTCTGAACTCAATATTAAAGATTATGGAAAACATGACATAATTTTTCTTGTTGATTAGCAACCAAAATAAAAGTATCCAACAACAAACAACAACAATCGTGTTCTAGTTTCAATTGATGTCGCTGATTTCTAAAGCCTACTTATTGATGGGCTAAAAACGGTTAGAATGTGTTTCTTGTATATGAGCATTTCTTATTCACCTATACCTTAATGAGATCGAGGCTATTTTTGTCATAAATGTACAAGCGTACAACAAATGAATAAATAGAGTGAAAAGGCTTCACAACCACCGAAAACAAGATTTTGATAGACCCAGTACAATAAGTATACAAAATGTGTCTTCAATAGATAATTATATTTTGTCAGTGCCTTTTGACCCGTAAACTATAGTGTAACGCTTCATACCCTTGGATAGATGTATAAAATATATAGTATATCTTTCTATCAAGTTACCAACTTAAGGATTTTTAGAAAAGACTTCATCCCTTGGCGATAAATTCTCAAACATTACTCTCAAATGTACTAGCAATAAATAAAACAAAGCTTACAGAAGTAATTCTAGATAAATATGGTAATTATTATATACTTCTAGAATATTCATTACTATATATTACTTAGAAAGTGATAGAAAGTATTTAATATTATAGAGCAGTGCCTCTCAACAGAGCAAGAATTCTTCCCAGATGGAGGGAATGGAAAACCATGTGGAGAAATTATTGTCAGTGGGTAAATGGGGAGGAATCTTCTTCTACCATTTCATTCTACGTATTTGTAAGAGTGTGGGTTCATCGCGGTTAATGGTGTAGCCTACTCACAATGAAACGTAGTTCGTTGAAGATAACTGAGCGAACTACGACTGAAATTGTCATCATTCACTCGGACAGAAAATTGTGAAAGAAAATTAGTCCCACGGGTCACCATCATATTGTATGATTTTTATATCCATTCATAGTTCATCGTTGAATACATTTTTCGAGTGACTGCTTTTAAGGGAGGAATAGATTTGGAAGAACTCCTCCAAGGTGGAATGGTCTCACTCAGGTTTAGAAGCATTGTTCTAGATGTTTATATCAATATAATTGTCTTCTTTTACTTTTGATTATATTGAAGGATTAATTGTAGATAGATCTAGCCTCGTTAAATAATATCCATTTCTGGCTAAAAAAAAGCTCGTTTATTTTCTAAGCCTTTGGTTACCTTCCTTTTGAACTTCTCGGTGGTTGTCGACATCCAGAAAAGAAAACAGATTACTAATCTCAGAGAAAATCGGAATGTTTCGTTCCGTTTCTTATTTTCTTCTGTTACTTACTCCACTTCCCATCCAATGATCTGCATGCATCTTCAGTTGTGGTTCATTTAATATTCAACAAATCAAATGATCTGTTCAATAAAAAAAATACAATTCTTTGGCATAGGTAATCAATGCTTAATTGCACAAATTATATCTATTAAATCAAAATTTGACAGTAAGATATTGTTAGGTTATGGATGGCAAAACCTACAATAAAAACAAACACACAAAAAAATATGTTCTGTATTTTAATCATACTTAACCAGTCATAGTATAGTTGAGCATCAAATCTTCAACTTGTGGGTTAAAGGGTGGCATATAAAATTGATTTTATATCTTTTAATAATAGTTATTTTTATTTTAGAATAATCAATACAAACTAAATAATCCCCAGTCAATAAATAATCCCCAGTCAATAAATAACCTCAACATTACTAAATAACTCTACATTCTACATTTCTACACGATATTCTCATTTGTATCAACAATGACAGAAATAAAACATCAAGTAGCAATCCCAGATAGATCTGGTAGTGCTACAAATATCAAGATAATATGCAAATCTGTATGAAAATTAGGTAAAACTCTAATGAACCCACCCTTTTATGACAACTATTATTTTGGTTACCTAGATGCTTAAAAGGATTAAACATATGTAACTTACATTATTTTAAGTTTTATTTTTTCAAAATTTTCTATACGAATTGGAATCTAATTTGGATACTGATTCGGTGACTAGTTTGTGATACAGCAGTTGTAAAATAGAATCTTATCATTCTGGGATGTGGCATATGATAAATCTTCTGAAGTTGTATCAATAGGTCGCCATAAGTCATTCTTAGCATGAACATTTTTTTTTAGATTATTTGCAATGAAACGCTTATACCTTTCGCAAGGTTTCTATCATTAATGATTTTTCATTGGAATTAATCTTTACAAATACAAATACTCTTGAACATTATTTCTATGCTTAATCATCATTTGACTTAAGAATGCTCTTTCTTCCTCACTTTCAAACCAAATGTCTAAAATATTATGAATAACATTCACCTTTCTATTTACAGCTGCATTCTGCTATGTGGTATACGGCAATGAAGCTAAATGTGCAATAGCTGCAGCAAAGTGTGTACCACAACATTCAAGTTTAATTAATAGCAACTCAACTTGCGAGTAAGTTGTCTTTGATTACAGTGACGTTGTTAACCTTTAAATTTACGCGCCTATAGATTTCCGTTCCACCACAGAAGTAACAGCTGACGCTATTTTAAACTTCATTTTTATGATATTTATTACTCAGTCCTAAAAATTAAATAAAATGGAATGAATATTTTAATAACATGACTATATATTTTGTGCATGGTTTCCTTTTCAGAGAGCTCGGACCTCTTGGAAACTGTTTGGTTGGCGGTGGTTGCGAATCATCCGATTTTACCTATCAGGCTCAAGCTAAAGCTTATGGACTGACTGGCTGTACTTTTAACGGTAAGTTTTCATTAAGCTGAAACCCTTATCACAGGAAAATGACTATTGGTGTGAGCTCGTGATACGTAACCAGAATTCTATCGATTGACCTTTAAGCTAAATGATTGACAGATTGAACGATTTTGTCGTAGAGCTGTCGTGGAAAAACGCACATTGTCCGATTTTGCAGTAGGTGTGCCACAACCTTTAGATATAATTCTTAAAAACCGTTAATAGTTTAAAACAATTTACTGCAAATTTTCAAGCTTTCGGTTTATTGTGACATCAATCATATTTTATGTTCCAGGTGCGGAAGCAGTGTTCATCAGCTTCTCTTTGGTAGTTGCTATGGTGTCCTTAGCACAGTTTCTAACCCGATAATTGTCTTAAATTTCTATAAAAGAAAATAACAACAATTCTTTTATTCAACTCATAACTCTCTGTCAATGTCCTAAATTTATAATTATTCTATAATCAATCTGTTCAAAAGAAATCGATCCATCTGAATTAAAATATTTCGTTTAAGAGGTTTCGAGTTTCTTTCGCTGAGGGAGGGTAACCCAATGCCATCCACGATCTAAGGATTTTTTTGTGTTTTGCAAGTTCTTAGCAACTATAATTTACTAATAATAAAGCATTAGTTTAGTAAAAGTATAGTTATTCTCGTCGTTGAATATTGCTTTGAATCGATTTCTTGGCAAACCAAAATGGAGTAAACATTTAGAAATTCTCCATGAGTAATATTGCGTATATAATCTTTGATTTTCATTTTCAAGCATGAAATACAAATAATAAAAAGTTCTTGTCTCATAATGTCATTACATCTATCTCACTTTTGAAAAGAACTAGAGACAATAGCCAAATGATAATTCGAGTGTTTGTGATTGTTTATCTTAGCAACGGCCATTCTCCTTACGAAACAACTGCAAATATTAAAACTCTACGATGAATCGATTCTATGGTTAATAATTCAACAATCCAATAAAGTATATTTTAACGCAATTTTTTTTCCAAAATCTTTTAATCTTTTCATTGATCATAGTGTTTGACATTTATCTGAAATCTATGCAATCTCTACATTATATAGATAACCTATATAGGAAACATATCGTAAATCGTAAAGTGTCTATACATGGTTTGGTGCAACTATTCTTTGTGCATTTTTTTTATTAAGAATCGATAACTAAAATTAGATTGCAATTTCCTATCCTTTTTACTCATTGAGTGACTTCAAAGTTGGTGTTGGTGATAATGTTAGGTGTCAGTGTTGTTTGTGTATACCCCGAATTCCAAACACCATATCAGGTGTTGACACCAGATGTTAACACTGGTGTAAACATTGATGTGTTTCAAATGCCGGGGGCTTGTGAGCGGTGTTGATCAGTTTGGTGTTAACCTATGAGGGTTGGGTGCTAACGCCAATATAATAATTAAAAATTACTTTATTCGCGCACTCAGTGTACATACAAAAAAAAAAAAAGTTCAATTCAAACTATTAAACATGTTATGATACACATAAATAATTAATAATTTCATCAATATCTTCAATATCGCAACTATTTTGCGAAAATAACAAAGATTCTTTGAACAATACAAAATCTTTAATAGTACTTGCCGTCATTTTATCACCGATATTGGTGTATATATTGAAATCCATTTCATCAACTATGCTTGATAATTGTCCACATTAGAATTTACAAATATTATATTTACAAATGTACCAATGGCATATATAATTCAAACTATTGCAGATAGGAGATTGACTGCCATGTAAGGCTAATTTTGAACAAATATTAGTGCATACATTTTTACTAGTTATTATTCCATGTGCAAATTTTAAAAAACGTATATGTAATTGGGCTTCAATTGAAAAGTCATTGCAGAATAGATTTAAAAGAACACAGCTTTGCGCCACGAGCAGAAAAATTGTTGAATATTTTTGATGGGATAATCCCACAGCTGACACCCGTAGAGTGGCATACAATATGTCTTAAAAACTTTATATTTTATTAATGAATGTACAAATTTAAAATTCCTAAGTGTAATATTTACTTTTGTATTAAAATTATTTAAACACTGTTCCATCATCTCTTTTTTTAAAATCGTTGGAGAGTGGATTTCCTAGGTGACATTTTGATTGAACCTGTTCTATAATCTTGCCATTAAAAACATCTTTAATAGGGCCAATATGATAAAAAAAACAAGAAGTTTACATTTTGTGGGATTAAATTTAACACAATATTCATTTGAAAAATCAGTTGCGATGTCAATTAATCTTAAGAGAGACTGTATACTAGGTGTAACAAACGTAACATCATCAGCATAGCCTATGGCTCCAACATAAACATTACCCATGAAGCAACCAAATTTACTATTTTTACATCTACTGAGAAGTTCATCAACATATAATGTAAAAAGAATCGCAGATAGAACTCCACCTTGTTTTACGCCATTTTTTATAAAGTCCTTTGAATTTCACGAAAAAATGCACTAGCTGCAGTTTAGCTCAACAATAGGTTTTGAGATGGTATCAGGTAACAACTCTCACCAACATTGTAATGGGGTTACATCAAGACTGCTGCTCGATTTCAAAGTGGGTATGAAAATGGGTGACAGTGTTGATGTTGGTGTTGGTGTTAGTGTCAATTCCTGGTATTAACACCAATTTTGAGGTCACGCAGTGTAATCAAAGAAGTTTACTAGACTTGAAATATAGGAAAACGAAAACAAAAAACCAAATCTAATTTTAGTAAGATTGGTGAAGAGTAGATTCTCTATGTGAACACCACAAATTGCCCTAAGTTACCTTCAACATAATTATCAGAGCATATCACATTCATTTCATTGAATAGGAAGATAGGTCAGTCTTGCGAAATCTTGAACGATTAAAAGACAGAACACAATGGGAGAGATTTTTGACCAACTTAGTAATAATACTACACACTAAACTTATAAATTCCACGAATCTCCACAATTTAAAAAGTTTGTTATCTATGGCGACGTCGATGAAATCATTTTGTGCATGCCCAAAATCTTCGACGCATAACGTATGGCGTATAGGTCTCGCAAACGTGGAACGTAACCTATACTGAATTTATCTCGGACGACCAAAGTTTTATTCAAGGAGTATTTAACTTACAACTACCATATTATTATGTATGGCGTATAATCTAGCGTTTATTAGAAATATTTAAATATCGATGGTCAATTTTCCAATATATATAACACATTAAGTCAATAATTCACTGCGTGTTACAAGAAGCTAAAATGCTATCACGGTTAACGGCACGATTGAAATCTTTTTGTAGTGACCCTATAAGACCTTACTAGCCTTATCAGATCAGAGGTTAAGCGTTGAAATCGTGCTAATAGTAGAAACATTTTGAACCGTTCAAATTATTGTCAATAGGGACAATCGAATCAAAAATTTTCGACAAACCTCAAGATCTGAAAGGGTCTCCACGATTAAGACTGCGATTTAAATGAATCGTGATAGTTCAAGAACGAATGATGTCTTAAGTCAGTCGGGGTCAGGTCGTAGATCTAATCGTGATCATTCTCGATTGTCATCGTGAAAGATATCTTGACCACAATCATATCCTATTGTCACAGATAGCACTGTTTCTTGATAAACGTATCGGCGTGTATCTGTAGGTACCGGATGATACCAATTCGGTGATCCGTATCGAAATGACCGTGTCAAATCAAGACTAATCGTAGACTCAATCGATACAATCCTAACGGAAGGTCTGTAATCGTGAAATTAACAATTTGTGAACAGGTTGTATATATGCGGGTATTGACTGGTATAAAAATCCGTATAAGCAAGTCAATTTCGTTGATCAGAATCAATAGTAAAAGTTGTATAGTAATTGATTACTCAGTACCATCATGTGTTTCTAAACGTAAGCATAGTCCGCTTCGCAAATACTATATAGGTCAACATCATGAGATACAACCAGATCCATCAGAAAACCCATGATGAGCTGCGAATTGCTATTCGTGGCGTTCGATAGGAATCTAACGAGTCACGACAGTGGAAACCTAACAAAACGAATATAACATGAAATGATATTTACGAATCAGTTATAGATGAATATTTCACAAAAGTTAGTAACATCTTACGAAACAGTTATACACCTAACGATTAAAATCAAAACAACATTGATATAAAATGCTATTGTTTTTTAAGTCTTTTTTTTCAATGTATATATCATCAATATAATCGATTTCGAATGAATAGCATGATACGACCAATGGCCCCCTCTCATACAAATTTCCTTGTGAACTCCCCGAATCATACGAAACTACCTTGCATGGAAATAACACACACGAACGTAGTTTTGAATCTCTTAATATGATTTTCAATGTGATATTTCAACTAAGCCTCAAATCACATTTAAATATTTAACAATGGCTTTCAATTTGAGTTGAAGGCTTTTTTGACATGTTATAGCCTTATTAAGAACTTGATTTGTGAACTACGTTCGTGTGTGTTATTTCCAAGAAGTTTCTTATGCTACCCAATTCTGTGAACCATACTCCCCTAATAAGCCATAGTAATGCCACTGGATACGACATAAATATGCTACGGAGGAATGGTCTATCGGGCCAACGGAAAGGTGAATTGGTTTCTCAAATAGATATCAAAAGCTATAGATATCAGCAAGATATCAAGAATTAGGGAAACACGTAATGCCATCATTTTCAAATCCAGTGTCAGAGCAGTGTTATGTGATCTTCATCTCGTTCGCAACACCTGTCAATTATTTGTGTAAATTCGGTCTCAATGAGAGGTTTATCAGGAAGTGGCCACATTTTTATCATCAAGGTGACTGGCTCAATCTTATTGTCTCAAATTTTCGGGGGTTGGCCTAGGTCTTGAATGTAGATATCTACATATATCTTCTAGTTATATAGAATAATATTTAGAAAATCTCATGATCTCTTCAAATTACTATTATAACTAGAAGTTTCAGTTTATATTTTTATATAATAGTATGTCTTTTCTAGAGAAACAAGGGTATCAAGAAAAGACGAGTCGTCATTTTAACTTTCAAACACGAATAGTTCTGACACACGTGGATTTGAAGGCTTAAAATTTGACGCTGAGCTGCGAACACATCGCTCTAAAAAATACATTTCTATCTACTATCTTCTATCCTTATTTATGATAAAATAGCCAGTTTCGAATGCAGTGAAGCGAACATTTGGTAAATCAAGTTTGTCCAGTAATACTACTACCAAGTTTACCAAATGATCGCCTCATTATAAAAGAATCCGGCCATTTTATTATAAATAAGCATATTTAGCGTTCTGATTTGCAGAAATATAATACAACTTCCATTCCGTTAAAACTAAGTAATATAAGACGTAGTAAAGAGTTTAATAAGGCAACGGTGAAGCAAAATGTGGATGATTCGGCAATTTTTTTCTTAAAAATGCCGACATCTTGAAAGAGTAGATAACATAATATATTATTATGTTATTTTGGTCTGGTTGTAGATTGGTAACGAATTCTCTTGC